ACTCGAAGTGAGAATTATTTATGATCCAGGTTAATTTCGTAATAACTTTGAGAATTCGTAGTGGAAATGAAATCGATAACTGAAAGATGAGGTTTGAAAGATTTCTACATGGGACTCCAAAAAGAAATTCGCTTAGTTACAGCACATAGCGATCTTTACTACCTCACGATAGGAGTTCGCATATGATCCTGATGTTGATCTCTCTGAGATCTCGCGGAGAGGTTTGTGTTAACTGACTATATTATGAAATTTTGGTTTTTGAGAATCGGTCGACTGGTTCCATATTAGGAGGGTGTTGCAGGTTGAAATCGCACACACTGTATATAGTATATATTGTAGAAATGTACCATCAATATCATTATTGATATTTTCATTATTATTTTCATTGTTAAATTTCATTACTATTACTACTTATTTGTTGTATGATTAATATAAACGAGGTGATGGAATGTTCAACTGAAGTTATACAATGCAATATGGTGAATCATTTTGGAGTCACGAATTCCTGGACGGGATGATAAAAGTCAGTATTCACTGTGCAGGGTAACGAGTCGGTCGAAGTGAATAAATTGTTAAAGCTTAAGTGTTTGATTCTCTAAAAAGACATATTATAACAGTACGTTTGATCACTATCATAACACACACACATCGAAAACCCTCAATTGGTGAAACAAGTTGATAATGTTAGAAAATGGGCGTGTACACCTTAGTAGAACTTTTAACTCAAACCATGTTTATAATGATCCTTTTATACATAAATAATGATTGAAGACACAATTCGATCGAAAAATTAACTGGAATGTTTTATTTTTGGACATAAATAATAGTACCTTCTGAAAACGGACCAACTTATGACGTAGAAACCTCATCTCGCCATAGTCAAAAGAAAATACCAAACGCCCGACGGAGACTGCGAGGCAACTGATATATTAATTCTTTCAACTGTGATCTCGCACTAATTCACTGTCAGAAATCATGTATCATTCATCTCTTTCTGGAATAGTCTTGTTTCAGTACTAGGGTTTTGACGTCACATCATCCCAGGTAACACGGAACTCTCCGCAATATCTCTAAGTAGTTATCTTCAGGATCAAAATGCGAAATCCTCCTGCGAGGTGTCAAAGATCACTATAGGCTCTCACCATGGGAAATACTCTCTGGAGTCGTCCGAAAGAAATCGCGGAGATCTCGCCTCAGATTTGATATATTCCTCATTATTGCGAATCCTTGAGGTTATCTATAACAGGAAATGAATGGGCATTTCTTTCTGCGAGCACCCAAGGATATCCTGGACGTAACAAGATCGAGCATTTCCCATTGCGAGCTCCTAAAGTAATCACAAACATAACCTGAATAATAATAAATGCATATTCCAACAAAAATATTGAGTTGTTTTTTCAATAGCCTTTATAATTCAAATACTGGGTGTCCCCAGGCAATATCTCGCCTATTTGTCAGGATATCAAGAGCATTAAAAAACTGCATCAAATGGCATTAATTACCTTCCTAATGGCTTATGAAGAATGTGATATATTTGGCAGCCCCCGGATGGTAGATACTGATCAGTTTTTATTTTCTGTAGCATATTGTCTCTGAAAATTGCGTGTAATCTATTTGGAATACAACGATATAGCACATACTCGGTGTTTTGTTCTTGATAACAACAAAAACATGAATATTTTGTGACTTTTTTACGTTACTCAAATGACAAATTGCTCTCACCCATGTGTTCAAGAAGTTCACAAATAAGAAGTATTGATTGAATTTTTGTTTCAAAATATCAATGACAGATATTCCATTTTGAACTGCAGAACATCAATCATTGCAGACGGTACCTACCTACCTAGTGTAATAATTAATCTAATTTTATTGTGGGACATTTTTACGAACATGGGAGGAGGCAATTTTCAATCGATGTAACGTAAATGAGGTCAAAAAAATTTATTGTCAATGTTGTTATTAATGAACAAAATACAAAGTACCGATGTGCTACCGTTCATTCTCGAAATAGGATGATAGGCAATTTTCAATGACAATATACAGGGAGTCCATTCAATAAAAATTGAGGAGTTGGTACCAGGTGGCTGTCCAATCTAATACACTCTATTTTGAGTCATAAAAAAAGTTCTCTGATGTCATTTGAAGCATTTTTACTATTTTTTGTTCATCTTGTCGAGTAAGCAAGTTTTTGCCGGTACTTTTACGATAACTTTCGGGACATCACCCAGTATTAACATGAAATGGGAGTCATTAATCTATGATAATAATAATTGTATACTAGATACTAGATTTTCTTACTGTCTCAGAGAATGTGTTCAACAGGTCATATTATTATCTCTCCGCCATTATGGAAGATTATTTCAAATTTTGCAGTAAATTAATGATAATTAATTATCTGCTCTGACGAAAAAGACAAAAATGTTCCAATTCAGGTGGGATCGAGAATCAAATTTCTACCTCAAATTCGTGGGTAGATATCGGACGACCTTTTTTTTAAGAATACCCGGCCAACTCCTCGGAGATTTTTTCAAGTGATAAAGTTTATACTTGATCAATGTCTTGCTATAGAATAATATATAATTAAAGCTCATTACGTTGATCTAACTCTAAGTTTGGTAACTCAATCTGTTTCGCTGAAACAAATATCCAGTAAATTTAACTCCACCCCAAACAATATAGCTGGCGCTAGTTAGACTTCGCCGACAGGAGACTGCTGATAACCAATGACTTCTCAAACATTGAACACCTTACCATATTAGTGGCGATCATATGGCGATTGATGCAAATATCGCTCTTGAAGGCCTCGCTATAAGGCGATGTGCACGGATTCTTGAACAATTCATAGTTGCGAGCACTTGAAGAGTTCGCTATTAGTAATTGGTGCGAATTTCCCAAAGTTCTCTTCACAAGGCGATGCGTGCGAAAATCTCAAACAGCTCGTAGTCGCGAGCACTTAGAGACCTCGACTAAGGTGGCTAATAGCCACCTTAACCTCGACAGAAGCAATTGATGCGAATCTCCCAATGTCCTCGTCACAAAGCAATGTATGCGAATTTCTCCAACAGCTCATGATTGCGAGCACTTTCAGTTATCGCCAGTGGCGATGGAAGCGTATATCTCAAAGTGCGCGCCTGAGGGCATTGTATGAGAATTTCTGCGTGCGATATCTTCAAGACCTCGCTGAGCTCAGCCTAGGTGGCGGACATTTGGCCTAGATATATAGCACTCTCGGCGATCTCTCAAAGAAGTTACAAAAGGCATCACAATTTCCTAGAAAGATTTCTTCAAGATATCTTCAGGACCTCTTTGTGCTGGCTGGGATCGTCTCGTTTTCAGAGGTTCGAAAAATCGGGGATTTCAATAATTTTTTATAAAGCGTAGGGGGCTCACAGCAAGAAACGGTTTGCGGTGGTGAGCTAGTTCGGGTGAATTCTATCGAATTATGAGATAATTTTTTTTGTGATATAAGCCCATTATGTAAACCCAAACATGACAGACATTGACTGCGCAGTTAGTGTCTTTCGCGGTTAGGTCGTTAGGTGAACATTTTCAGAATACAGTGTCATTCATGAGGTCGGCTTCATTATGGGAAAAAACTCGTATTGGTGATTTATTTCAAAATTCGACTATAGCGTTGAAATTTGCTTTAAAAAATATAAAAGATGGACACTCGGTCGGGGTCACGTGACTTTTAGTTGAGCAAGCCGAGGTTGGTTTAGTTCATTGTACCAGTATATCACCTGTCGAAGCTACTGTGTTAGCGAAACATATTGTGTGTTTAAGAATTTTGTGGAATTCTCATCGTTTGTGAAATTTTCACATTTGCCATGGATTTCCATCAAGAAACGGCCGAGTCAATTGAAAAAAAAATCAGTCGTCATGACTACAGCATTTATACTTCTTAAGTCATCTATGACACGCTTCGTCAATATGCAAAAAGGAGAAAAGGGCAGAGAAAAACCAAGACATCAATTTGTTCGTTGAATAAACAAGATAAAATTATCTCAAACTTATTAGCATTGGAATTAAATCTGAAATAAAATTCAGTGTGTGAGGATGAGCAAGTTTATTTAAAAACCAATAAAATATTGAGAACGATTCAATGATCATTGATAAATAGCTAATTTTATCATAAAAAATAACTAAACCAAAACTCAACTGAAGACCGAGCTTAACACTAAACAAAAACCTTCAATAATATTTTTATAAGTGTTGAAAGTGTCCGCCATTATTTCCGATACATTTTTGGGTTCTTAACCGCAACTGTCCTATTGCACTCGCTACAAATTCAGGTGTTATATCTATCTCTGAAAGCCAAAGTAATGGGCGTGTACACCTTAGTAGAACTTTCAACTCAAACCATGTTTATAATGATCCTTTCATACATAAATAATGATTGACGACATTACTCGATCGAAAAAATAACTGGAATGTTTTATTTTTGGACATAAATAATAGTACCTTCTGAAAACGGACCTTCTTATGACGTAGAAACCTCATCTCGCCATAGTTAAAAGAAAATACCAAACGCCCGACGGCGACTGAGGCAACTGATATATTGATTCTTTCAACTGTGATCTCGCGCTAATTCACTCTGTCAGAAATCATGTATCATTCATCTCTATCTGGAGTCTTGTTTCAGTATTAGGGTTTTGACGTCACATCATCGCCTCGTTTTCAGAGGTCCGAAAAATCGGGGATTTCAATAATTTTTTATAAATCGTAGGGAGCTCACAGCAAGAAACGGTTTGCGGTGGTGAGCTAGTTTGGGTGAGTTCTATCGAATTATGAAATAAATTTTTTTTGTGATATAAGCCCATTCTCTGCCGCCATTCCTCAACACTATTAACCGAATTCTAGATACGCCACTGGTTGCCAAGTTGAGGCTAGTTATTCATGGTTCGTTCTGTGTAATTTTCACTATGTAAAAAACCATGATCTGTGGAAAAATTATTTATTCAACCAAACTTGTAACAATAAAATGTATTCAAGATTACGAGTCAAACGAAAGATTGTATATTGATTTCTAAAGCAGAACAAGGATTGGTTAGCTCGAATTTGGTAGAAACATTCGGATGTAGAACACCTATTTTACCAATAGGTGTCCCATTACATATTATGTCCGCACATCTTCCTGGGAAATAGGAGGGATCTAAAACAAAAAAAAAGGTGATCATTTCTGGAACATATGATTGCAAGGTTTCCAAAATACAATATGGATAAAATTCGATACATACAATTCATCGAAAAAATAATACGCTCTGTGGAAAAAGCTTGAACCTGTTTTTATCCCAAAAAAACATCCTAACTGGAAGATGTCAAAGGCATACAATGAGTTTGAGGAGCTAAAGAAGCCTCTACCCCCAAAAATGTATCACCCCATAAATTTTGAAATCCGTTAAAATGTTTCAAATGATGATCCTTTAGAAAGTATTTACCACACCCAATTTCGAATTGATATCTCTAAAAGCAAGCGAGATGTATCAATTGATAAAAAACACTTATTGAATTTTGACCCCTTGTACCTACTGATCGAGAGATAAACCATGTTTATACAGGGTGTATCTAAATAACACCAAAAAAATGCAGGGGGTGATTCCTTATGATATTCTAGTAAAGAAAAAAATGCATATGAACATGTGTCCTAGCTTGCTGGTATTTCACCAATTTTAGTTTGTACCTTAAAACCTGAATCAGCATGTATATCATGATATATTTCACTTGATATATATCGGTCAACCCTGACTTCCAGCTATTCCAACTATTCTACAAATTTTGTAGGTACTTTAATTTTGAACGGATTGCGAGACAACATTTTTTCGTAAACAAGAGCACAATGACATACACTTATTGCTGCTTTCTGTATATTTCCTCAAATAGAAGAAATGTATCTCTTAATTCGAGACGAACAAATAATCCCTCGTGAGTTTTTATTTGAATCATTTTTCTAATGCCAAAAATAAAAGAGTTATAGGGGTTGTTACATCATAACCTGTCACCTGGTAATGGTAATGTAAAATTCACATAATCCACCACCAGATTGAGAACATAAATCACAAAAATTGAATTGTTATCTTACCATTTGTGGCTCTCAAAAAGTAACCGACAGAGTCTTTCTTTCGAGACCACGGAACCTCGAGAAGCAACATGATTTTGTCTAAAAGACCGTGAACAACTTCGAAACCTGCTGTTTTGTTGCAGTTAACTGCACAAATCCTACGTTCATTTCTAGCTCCGACCTCTGAAAGAAAAAATTAGTAAAAGAACATAATCTTTCTGATTTTACACAGGAAAAAATACATGAGAATAAAACCCAAAAATTTTCATACGAGATGGAATTATGGTTTTCTGACATATTTTTCGCTGCACAATAGAATATCACTTATTTATTTATTTATTTATTTATTTATACATAACACCGACCGCCCAATTACAGGAATATATAATAATATTAGTAATAATTATTAGATTAATTGACTTACCTGAGGAAGATTAATCTGAATTATTCGAGTTTTGTCGTTCCACATGATAAATCACCATGTAGTACATCAGTTCTACCTGAATTCGGCAACTGGTTTAGAGTAAAAAACTCTCTTATCAGTCTGACTCACTTTTTACCGCGCTGTATTGAATAGATTCGTCACTTCATTAGTTTCTGCTCATAATGAGACAGATCGTATTTTGGGGTAGTAATTATTAGGGAGGGAGGGTTGTTATCATGTGGAACGACAAAACTCGAATAATTCAGATTAATCTTCCTCAGGTAAGTCAATTAATCTAATAATTATTCTTCGTTTTGTCGTTCCACATGATAAATCACCCTGTAGATGTTTAAAGAACATACGATCTGATCGATAATTATTCTTCATCCCATTTATTTTAGAACATTAAAAACAACCAACTTTTTATATATGGACCAACAACACCAATTACCTATAATCTATTAACAATAATTACAAAAAATTATACATAATATATGATTTTTACAACACTGATAACACTGATAATATAATTATGTTTGTAATCATATATGGGTATTTTAATAAATACTACTTGCAAAACTTGTTTCAGTTCCAGTAATGATAGGAAGGTTATAAAAATTTGCAAATACTTTTGATGATCGAGTCCATCCTGCAGTATTTTTGATTTGGTCAATATTAACACCTGCTCTGTGAGCTGCAGAAGTCGATGCATGTCTCGTACTGTGACTGGAGGAAACTTCTGTGTCTATGCCGGCCTCTTTTAGGATATTTTTAATCCAACGGCTGATTGTTTGCACCGAGGCTCTGTGATATGGTTTCTTGATGGTTAAAATGAGATGCTGATTATTATTAATTCTCAAATTTTTAGTCAATTCAATGTAATATTTCATCAAATTTCCAATGCAAAGATTAGGTTTTTCTTTAAAAAATGGGAATGTTAAAACAGGTTGTAATTTATTTGGACCAGAAGTCTTAATTTTTTCTTCAATCTTAATTTCCACTTTATCTGAATGAAACCTGATATTATTCACTGTTATTTTAGAAAGTGTCTGTACCCTGTGACCAGAGGCTAAGACCATCAGTGTCACTAGTTTATAAGACAATTTTTCAATTGACAATTCGTCTATGGAAGGAAAGTTTTCTAGATAATCTAGCACCTGGTTTGGATCCCAAGTACTTGCATATTTCGGTTTAGATGGGTTAATATTATAAGCTCCTCTGAAAAATCTTCTCAAAATTAATTCATCCTTATCTGGATATGAAAATATCAAGGATAAGGCTGACCTATTCGTATTGAGTGTCGCATATGAAAGATTTGAAATGTGCAGCTGGTTCAAATAGCTCAATACTCTACTTATATCATATACAAGTGGATCATAACTTTTATTACGGCAGTAATCCCACCATCTTTTTAGACATGAATTATATTGCTTCAGAGTATTTTCTGATAGTGAAGCTAACATTACAGGCAGGACCGACTCGGGAACACCTTTTTTTTTAAGAAGGACCACCTGATAATCTCCCCGCCACCAGGGTAAGTGTTCTGTGTAGTGGGTGCTTCTCTCTGAAAGGAGATAATAATAATCCTTCATTAGGTTCAAAAATTAATGGCTCTTCAGTTAATAGTTTCTCATAAAGTGGATACCATGGTTGAGATGGCCACCTGGGAACCACCACTAATCCACAGGCTTCATCATTAATGATTTTTTCTAATACCTTGGTTATTATGCTAAATGGTGGAAAAGCATAGAAGTTCATGTCAGTCCATGATGTTGTGAAGGCATCTACGCAAATTGAATCTGGGTCAGGGCCCCAAGAAATATATTTATCACATTTTTTATTACTCATTGATGCGAATAAATCTATATCGGGTGAGCCAAATGTTCTACTTACAGATTGGAAGGCATAATTTGCAAGTTCATATTCGGTGTCAATTGATTTCGACCTTGATTCTCTATCCGCATCATAGTTACTCGAAGAACTAACATATGATGCAAATAGAGTGATATTTCTTGTTTCACACCATTTCCATATATCTCTTGATATATCATTTAGGCTGATATATTCAACACTGCCCATTCTGTTGATACATGAAATGGCTGTGGTGTTATCTAATCTGAGTAATATATGTGAGTTATGATATTCTCTAGCAAATATTTTAATGGCATAAAAAGCAGCTGTTAATTCAAGACGGTTTATACGATTTTGTGATTGAATCCCTTTCCAAAAACCATGTGCCTTAACATCTTTGCAAATTGCGCCCCAGCGAGTGATGCATCTGAAAAAATCTCCAAAATATATTCTTTCTGTTTTATTTCATTCTGTGAACCCAGAATGTGTGACAGCCACCATTTCATGTCATCTTCTAAATATTTCGGAATTTGCATTATTTTATTGTAGTCTTTATTACAGAGTTTTAGTGCCAAATATTTCTCTTTCTCAAAATTTTTTAGATAGAGCCACCCATATTTGACAGCAGGGCACGCAGCTACCAACTTACCGAGCATTCTTGCAAATTCTCTAATTCTGCATGAATTTTTATCCAAAAAAATTCTTAATAGTTGTATTAAATCAAATTTTTTCTGCATTGGTAGGCTCACACGCATGTTTGTACTATCAAAACAGAATCCCAAAAAGGTAATATTGTTACATGGAGCAAAATTTCCTTTTTCTCTATTAATTATGAACCCTAATGCTGTAAAAAGTTCTAAGGCTCTGTTTATACTCCTTTGACATAATTCAACACTATCATTTATAATCAAAATATGATCTAGATAAGCAATACATATAACGCCCTCTAGTCTCAACCTAGTAAGGACAGGTTTCAAGAGCTTAGTAAATATATATGGAGCAATATCAAGTCCGAACGGCAAACAATTAAATTCATATAATTGTCCTTTATATGAAAATCTTAAATACCTCCTATAATTTTTATGAATTGTTAACATAAAATAGGCATCTTTCAGATCAAAACTTCCAAAGAAGCAACTTTTACTTATTAGTTTCAAAACTGACCGTGTATCTTTTAACTTGAAGTGAGGGGGCGATATAAAATTGTTTAAACTCTTGAGATTCAATATGAATCTATTTTTACCGTTAGGCTTCTGTATGAGAAAATAAGATGATATAAATTCATCTTCTTCATGCGATCATCTAGAGATTGCTCCCTTTGATGATAGTTCAGAAACTACTTCATCATATTGCTGAATATCTTTTTCATGAATTAAAACTTTAGGAATGTGTGTTTGGTAAGGTTTGATTGCAAAAGGTATACAAATACCTTCTACCCAATTTAAGATATTTTTATCGTTGGTTATCGAACTCCACACATGTGAATATTTGCATAATCTACCAGCATAACCTACTTGGACATGTTGTACCGATACTGTTGACGTCGATAGCGTTGATATTTCTGCTGATATTGGGCTGGCTTCCTCGACACTGAAGACGCCGCCGCCGCCGCCGCCGCCGCCGCCGCCGCCGCCGTTGTCGCCCCTCTGTCTCTCATGCGAACTTTCGCTGGAGGACGCTGAAAGTTTAAATGACCTTGAGATTGATATTTCATAAAGGTCTTCGATGATCCAGCTACTGGCCTTGGAACAAACGATTTCCTGTGATTAGCTTTCATCTCACTGCCCGCCTTCTTCATGGCTTGACCTGTCTTCACCTTTTCTTGTAGATTTGCACCAAAAAGGTATTCATCTATTTTTGAATCTTCGAGGAATTTCTTACATTCTGAATTTACATGTGGTAATATATTATATCTTCGGTGACAAGATAGCGTATTTTGTACATAAGTGAAAATCTGGGCCGCATCTGCTAATTTCGGAAGGAATTCATCTTTATTAGGATCATCATTTTCCAGATATCCATTGATAACAATTCCTAGTGCGGTCAAGCCAGATGCCATTTCATCCTGGCAACGAGCTATAAACTTGTCTTGTTTTAGGGTACCTTCAGGAAGGCAGTTCTGAAGTTCTGTGTTTAATAAAGGTGCAAGAAGAGCCTTGCAGTTTTCTGCACAGGGGTATTTTTCGATGAGGTCCTTCTTTACATTTTTATCGATACCCTGTCGTAGGTAATTAGCCCAGCGTACCACTATTTCATCATGAAGCATCAAGGATTTACGACCTGTCATATTTGGATCGTTTCCCAATACTGCGAAAGTATTATCATTTTCCTGTTCACCCTCGGCAGTCATTTCCGCAGCACGATGTACTTCCACTGGTACAGTCTCCCTGACCACCTGTATATCGGGACTGTTGCTTCGTCTTATCTCTTGTTCCTGTTCCCTCTCTTCTTCATAACCATCTGAATGAAATACGTACTTGATTATATAACTGTCAACGTTGACAATTTTTAGTAATACAATGTTATAGTCACGTGACTAATTAACATGTAATCATTAATAACTACACATGTAATTATAATAATTGATGGTAAGTCACATGACTACCGCATTTTGGGCATATAATATCCACTATCCTATGGAGGTATTCTGGTAACATCGGTGAAAAAAGAAAAACCACCTACGATAATTCTTAATTCAATGGATTCTTACCTATGGAACCCTCCGGCCACAGTTTTTCTTCTAACCGAGCCATTTTTCTTTGTAGTTTCTCATATTTCCTACTCCTTTTCCTGGTTTTCCTCAACCTATCACTTTCACTTGAGTCTGTTGACGTGCTCGACATTCTTATATTTTCGTACCGAACTCTTCAGGCAAAACTAATGAAGTGACGAATCTATTCAATACAGCGCGGTAAAAAGTGAGTCAGACTGATAAGAGAGTTTTTTACTCTAAACCAGTTGCCGAATTCAGGTAGAACTGATGTACTACAGGGTGATTTATCATGTGGAACGACAAAACGAAGAATAATAAGAATAATAATTACAATAAATTGAGCAGTTGATTAGTAGGTGAACAAATGAAAATATATAACCAGTTTGGAATTAGTGTGTACAATTGCTTTCTGAACTAGGTTAAATTTGAAAAAAATATATCTACAGACGGGACATTATTTAGGCTTCTACACATAGATGTGATTGGACTATTGAGGGATGTTGTGAATTTGGGACATCGATTCGGAAAGTCAGATTTGATCTTGAAGAGATACGGGGTATGTTGAAACTCAGTGTGGATAAGAAGGACGCCCAATCTATTTGATTATTTATTAATTTATATTCGAATATCATGTCTGCTATTTCTCGTCGTTTTTCAAGCTAACGAATGCAAACTCTTCCAGTAGTAAATCGTATTCGCAGTGACGTGCAGGATAAATATTATATTTTTTGAAAATCAAAAATTTAATTTTTTTTTGTACTGTTTCCAATGCTTGTAACGGTTCAACTTGGCTCGGGTTCCATACCGCACTGCAGTATTCAAGCTTGCTACGTACAATGCAGTAGTAAATAGAACAAAGAGCTCTAAGATTCATAAATTCTCTACAATTACGTATGAGGAAACCTAGAGCCCTGTTGGCATTGAATTTTATTTTTTCAATATGTAAAGTGAATGTTAATTTGCTTTCAAGTATAACTCCCAGATCTTTACATTCGTTTACCCTGCGTAGTTTACCATCCTTGATGAAATAATCAAATGAAAATGTAGAATAATTTTGCATTTCTCAATATTCAGGGGTAAATTATTTTCAGAACACCATTTGAAAACAAGATTCAGATCATTTTGCAGACGAAAACAACCTGCAATATCTGTAATTTCTGTGAAGATATTCATGTCATCTGCAAAAAGGAGTTTGCTTGATTCAATTAAAATGCATATATCATTTATGAATAAGAGGAATAAAAGAGGCCCCAGATTTGGTCCTTGAGGTACTCCTGAATGAGCTATGAAGTTGACAGATTGTACACCTTCATAGTCGACGAATAAATTCCTATCACTGAGGTACGATTTCAAAAGTTATTGGATATTAGGGAGTATACCAAAATAACCAAATTTTTGTGAAAGTTGTTTGTGAGAAACTTTGTCAAAGGCTTTGCTGAAATCATTATACACAACATCCACTTAGTCAGTGAACGTGCTTAGGTTTGAGATTATGCTTCGAGATTTCATAAATCCATGTTGGAACTCTGATAAGAAGTTACCTACATTAGAGTAAATGAGATCTAAAAGAATGATTACGAATAGTTTAGAAAAAACTGAAATAAGCGCTATGGGTCTATAGTAATGAATATCACCAATTTTTTCGTATTCAAATATAGGACAAATATGGGACAGTTTCCAGATGTTGGAAAAAGTTTCGGTTTTCAAAATAAGATTGTAAATCAATAGGAGTAGACGACAAAATCCGGTTTTTCATTAAATTGCCAACAACAGTCAAACAAGAAGTAAACATTCCATCAACAGCAAAGACCCCAGAGTATGCATATATCCGGTTTTTCATTAAATAAGATAAGTCGAAACGAACAAGATGGCGGACACTGATAGTCAGATTGATTTTGACAGTTCAATGTAAACCAGGTTTTATCAAGGACCATGTAATTTTATCAGTTTAATACAGAATGACGCATTGCTATTGGTTGAAACAACGAAAACGTCACATTTTGGTATGTGAAAAAAATAATCACTGAAAATTTACTTACCAGCTTCTGGATCTTTGATAACTACGTCGGCAATTTCGAATATTTTCAAGGGTAGAGGCATTTTCTTGTTGGCAGCGATCGTTTTCAAGATACCGGGCAACAGGGTGGTACGGCAAACTTGAAATTCCAAAGTTTTCGGATTGGAGATATGCACTGCCGGTACCTTATCGATGGACTCCAAGCCCAATTTCGTCGATACATCGTCCCTGGAACACTGACAAACCGTATACACTGCCTCACACAAAAACGAATCGCCAAAAAAAAACATAGTTTATCAAAACAAATTGCTGCAAGGTTTATGATAAAACGTTCTTTCAATGAAAAACATGACAAACACATATCGAGATCAAAATAAAATGGTTTTCAATTAGGATTCCAACTATTCTTTACTAGTTTCGGCTCAAGAGATTTTGAATTGAGAATAATCGATTTCATATTGGGAATGCATAATTCAGAATCAGATAAACTAATTCAAATTCAAATTGTTCAAGTACATATTTAATCAGGTGCCTTATCCACATTTCCTGCTATTACGTTTTGAGCTGTGTTAGTTAATTAGTGTTAGTATTGCTTTTGCCCTCTATACATGGGAATCTCAAAAGTGATTTTCCTTCAATTGGAACTTCTTTATATAAAAAATCAATAGCCCACTATCAAAATTCAATGTTTTAGCGATTTTGAAGCATTTCGGAAAATTTTATATTTATGGGTTCCAAAAAATATAAATTTTCAAAAACGCCCTGTAATTAACTAACGAAATAAGTTTGGTTTTACAAAAAAAAGGCACGGGACCCCGAAAATCGCAAGGTTCTATCTTCAACAACAACCAACTGTTGAACATTGCGGTACATTTTCTCATAAGATGGCATTAGAACTGAAAAGGAACTGATTATGTGCCTAGTCATATTCTATTGGATAGCGAATTGAAGGGAGGGAATGACATGTGAAAGTTAAGGATAGAATAAAAAGGTTCTTTCCAAAAAATACATGTCGGCATATCTTAGCTTTTTTTTCAAACAAACATTCTACTGAGTTATTCAGACTATTTCGTTTTCAGTTGCTCATTCTCCATTAAAAGTGTAATCAAGTCATATAGGGGATATGAAGTGTCTGTTGATAAAAAAGGAAATGGTTATGGAAGAGTAGTATTCATGAATGTTTTATGAAAAAAAAAACTCTTGTTTCTGAAACAATAACATTGAAAACCATCACCACTAGAATGGGACGGAAAAATGAATTGAAACTAGAGAATTTCAAAGCATTGTTACAAAACTCACCAAAGTAAAAGTTAAAGCTTCTGTGAATCCAGCCTCCGCAATGGGATACCTCAGCAAATCGGTCAATTTATTAATGGAAAACTGTTGACCGATCGTCATAGTTTTCGGTAACGTTCTCTTTATGTTATTGTATCCATACGCGATTGCCACATCTTCGTAAATATCGCAAGCATGTATGACATCGTGTCTAGTAGGCGGTATAGTGACCTTGATGTTATCGGGATTGTTAGTCAGCTCTGACTTGAGACACATTTTCGATAGGAGCTTGACGATATTTTCCGGGGATTCACTGCAAGACAAAGTAGGTTTCATTGATAATATTCTACTTTCTTCCATAATAGTAATAGACTAAACATCGATGGTTTTGCCTATCGATAGTTTCCAATAGTGTTCAAAAGAATATCGAGAGCTTTATCGGAGAAAATGTGAGGTTGAAACAAGAAATTTTATGAAATAATAACATTTCATTAAACTCTTCCTACACCTTTGGCACGATATAAGTACAATTCCGTCTAATTTGTCGGTTCTAAAATGAAATTGAGTGGGAATAATGTGAACAAATGACTTGTGACAAAAATAAAGAATGACGTATGGCGCATGCATTGCGCATGCTCAGCCAACTCTTCTACTTCTCTTTTTCAGGTTTAAGCTTAGTATCACTTAGGATAGTCCGAATAAATTTATTTTGAGGGTTTCGCATCGGCATATCTTCCTTAGGCCTACAAAAATTCTGCAGATTAAAAAAAACAGTTTCCAATCACATCTACTTCAGTTTTACGCTATCGATACTTTCACTACACACTATCGATGGTTCTTGATAGTCATAACTATCGGATATATCGATATTTGCAATCGATGTTTAGGCAACACTATAAAATCCATAATAGTGAATAATACCTATACGACCATTCAACATTGAGAAATTATTACCGAAAGTGGTTCTAGAACGATGATAAATATACGATTGTGTCACCATTGTTTTGATAATAATAATAATAGAGAATTGAAAATAACAAGCCCTGAGCATTGAATTCGATATAGTTGTTACCAATTGAAATATGTATACTGTTGGACATAACCGATCACCATAAAATTCATATCATTACAGTGATTAATCATTAAACTGGCAAAATTATATTTTTATTTTGATCAATTATCTCTTTTCTTATTTTGAATGAGTCTGTGAGTTCATTTGTGATTTTGAGACCTTCAAACCATTCAGAAAAATAAAAGATCAGTCCAGTTGATCATTTCTTGGACATTCTTTTATATCTATCATGAAACGAAAAAAAAAAACGGTATTGTCGTTTGTTGCGAACCCCTTCTGTACCAAATGAGTCTCAGGAGTACATTTTGAAATTATATATTTTCAGTGATAATGATTGAAAAATAATATAAATATAAGTATGAAGAATAGAGAGGAATCAAGTGGAACAACTAAATATCAAAAACTTGAAGAGAGTAAATCTGGTCATAATGTTGATATAATCTCTAATTTATGGACAATCTCGGTCTTTTGAACATTGATTGATCACCTGGGTCATATTCAACTACAATTTGAAGAAGCTGATTCTCATGAACTTCAGCTTTTTCGAAAGTCTTTTAATGACGAACTCTATTGAAGGAAGTTTCAGATCACAGACGATTTGAAAATTTCAAACATGCCAGGAAAAATTCCTTGGACCCAACTCCCTCATTAGATGCGAATGAAGTAATAAATTGTATATTAGGAACGATTGACGCAATTCATAAAATACACTATGTTGCCATTCTCTCTCACGCTGTGATTGACTCCATACCACTATGAGAGCAGAACAATAAATTTGAATTCATTTTGAACCCAAACGTAAATGTTATGCAACAATCTCCAACCAAAGTTTACAAATAAACGTCAGAAGATAACTACAATAACCTTCAATCCACAAAATAAGCTCACCTGATTCCAATTTTTTTGTTGATTTTCTTTACTGACACAATTTCTGTCCTATATTCCACTTCGGGACATAATGTAGTCGTTCCGTCTGGGTATAAGACTTCGACATATTCAGCAGTATACTTCTCTGTGCCATATTCACTGAACAAACATACCAAGGTGTCAATAACGATTTTGGCCTGCATAAAAATATTCGTAGGAACAGCATTACTAAGTAGTAAATTTTAATCGATCAATTAAAGAGCCTAGTGCAAAAAGGGTATAAATGCAAAATTTTGATTTTTGGTATTATTACAGATTTGTAAGCCTGTCACCACTGAAAATTCCGAATTGTCATCATTCTCAGATTTGAAACGTCAGTTCTGTAAATTGAATAGGCGTCCCGCGAAAATGTTTTAGAATAGATACACTAGCGTCTGCGGACAGGCGCAAGTAATAACTCCGTGGTAGGGGAACGTTAGTTAACTTGTGTCGAGTCTAATATAGGGAAGGCATTTTTTTTAACAATCAATCGACCTAGATGAACCTTTTTTCTTGTAAAACTTGATGTTTATTAACACCAAATAAAATATTCTAGAAGGAGAATTTTTCTTGAGGAAGGAAAATATTGTTCCTGCATAAAAAATGAGAAAACCTAACCTATCTATTTTATGAGTATATCTGTACTTGTTTCGTTGACCTGTGTAAAACTTAATGTTTATTAACACCAAATAAAATATTCTATTCTATTCTAACCTAACCTAACCGAACCTCACCTCTGGCCTAAACATAGAAAACCCCTAAATGAACCTATTTCCCATAGAGAATATTTTTTAGAAATCACTTGAGAACAAGAAAAAAATAAAAAAAAGATGAGCTTCGCACGGATTCGAACCCCGGCCCGCCGGCTTGGCATGCCGATGCTCTGCTTACTGAGCCAACCAGTTGCTTACGTGACGAAGTATGATGAAGTCATTCAGTCGGCGCCGCATAACGCCAGTCGCATCTACTTCCCACTGTAACGTTCTCCCACCACGGAGTTATTACTTGCGCCTGTCCGCAGACGCTAATGAATAGATACAGATTCAATAATTTTATTTTACGGGAAACCCGATTCCAAAAAAATAATTCAAAAGGAAAATATTATTAATACTAGTCTTGAATCTATATAATAAGTCTAACATATGAGAGAGCTCTATGTTTCAAAGTACAGATTTAACCATGAAATATGTCCAAACCAATTTCATTAATTAATCTCAATGCTCTCCCAATAGGTGAGTGTTGACCATGAATGGTCCCAATAGGTTGGCATTTCTTAATATAATTAATTAACTCCAACAACTTTGGACAAACAACCATTCCATTAATTAATTTTAAAATGAAACAAATATCAGTGGTTTTTCTGCGATTTTTTAAACTCGGCATTTAAGCTTTAACTGGTGTTTTCCCGAAACGTAACTGGTATCGTGGGGTATTTCGACACCTCATTTTTTATTAGGCGATATATCCCATAAAAAACCTATGACTTTTCAAAAATGTTGCTATTTTGTGAAAATATCTGATCATGAAAACTATGATCCTCAAAAAAACTTGATTCTATATTGCAGGTTTGTTCTTCAGAGCTCACTATTGATGCCTGTGGTAAGAAAAAAACGATTCGATAAATAGTAAAAAGGGTATAATTGGCACACTCCAATGACGCATTAGTTTCGAAACAAACGATACAAACAGAAATTGTTTGAATAATTTGCAACAAAATTCGAAAATGACAGTTGACAGTTTCCACAATTGACAGACCGGAAGGACTCGAACGACTGAAGTTGTGTTAAAAAACTCTGTTGCCATAGTAATGTGTTTTAAGAAATTGTGTTGCCATGGTAACGTGTTTGATATTAATAAATCACAGATCATCAATCTGTGATTAATGGATCATTTAGCGTGGTACAGTCGTCTTCAGAGAACATGTCGCACATGGACGGTGTTAGCTCTGTTAATTACCGCGGCAATAAGAGCGCTCATACCGTCCAACCGCGACATGTTCACTGAAGACGAGTGTACATATCCGTACGCTAAATGCCATTTTAGCTATGTAAGTAGAAAAACGATCTGTGTTCAAACTGAGCTCAACTGCCATCTATGGGCCAGTAAATATACACACTATCACAGAGTTTGTGAAAATGATTTCCTACTAATACCGGATTGGGAACCATTCTGTTCATTTGACAGAAGATAGTCTTGTTTAATGTTTTATTTTTATAAAAAAAAAGTGTTCAGTCCAGTTGTTTAATTAGTTCAGTAGATTTGTGCCACACATAAAAATCATCCTATTGTGCCTCGATAAACTTCAGAAAAAACATTATTTGGCACTTACACCCTTTTCACACTAGACCCGTCAATTATTACCTTAGCCAAATCTGTTGCAGTGCATTCAATGAACACATTCTTGGTGTCGAGAGTTATTTTACTATGGTTCCCATTGATCACTGGTGGAAGGGACAAAACTACTCCGTTACTATCAGTAATAACAGGATAAACAGGGCTATCTCTGATTATCGGCAAATATTGTTTTAATTGCACGTGAGTCTGAAAGCGAAAATCTTGGTGTAAGTCAGTTTTTCTATGAAGATTATAGTCAAGTCAAAATACAGGGTGATATCGAAATGAATACGTCAAATTTTAATCCTCAAAAAGCTCAAGGTCACCTATCGAAGGGCACCATTGAAAAAAACTAAAGCAATCAAAATTTCGATTTGGGGCAAGTCCAAACTTTCCACCTGAAGGCGGGGAGAACAACGCGACGTTGCCAGAGTTTATAAAAATGGTAAGACAGCAAATAAAGTTCAACAGTTTTTTATCTCTTGGAGCGCTCGAAAGCGAATCCCTATGCAGGTTGATTCAAAATTCGATGTTTATAATAAGACTCTTTCTTCATATAAACATGTTTCCTAAAATGCTCTTCTGAAAATTGGCATGCCCCTGTCTTTCAAGACATTTTATTTTTGTCTTGCTTCAAAAATGACGTAAACCCAGTTTCGAGGGAGTTAGACCGTTACCACCGATACAACAAGGCCTGCATGCTCCGTGGGTGACGTCACTTAGTGAGGCCTAACCAGCGGCTCGAAACGACAAGCGCTTATAGCGCTATAAGGCGACCGCGTATTTCGATTTTAGTTTTAGATCATCATTGAGCCAATTTTGCTGTTTTTTGAAGGGCTTCCGGTTAAAAAAGAATGCCAGTCGTCAACTCAGCCCTTCTTCGCACCCCATTCGATTTTATTATGGAAAAACGAAGTTTTAAAGCAAAAACCAGGATAAAACACAAATATCCACCTACAGCAACCCATTCGAATGAAATATATTGGCAAAAATTGTAGTGAAGGTAAACTTCACACCTACTTATACAGGGCCCGCAGAACATAAACTTATCGTGAGATTGATCGAAAGAAAATTGTGGAAAATGTATTTTATTTTGATTGACATGCCGTTTGTTACAATTATCTATATTTATCTTGGAGAAGTCCTATTACCTGAAAAAATAACCAGTGAGTGTTTTCAATTTTCTGTTGTTGGATTTTTCACCCAAGTGGATCGTTACACTTGAAACCGTAATTTTTAAGGGTAAAACTGCATTTATCATGCTATGGTTTTTTTTTTGAAAATTTTTTTCGGTACTCACGTATTGTTGTCTGATAAACCGAATTTCATAATGAAAATGTGAACAAACCACTATTTATTGAGATATTTCAAGAAAAAGTTCTAAATTTCGCCTTCTTTCTCCCCTTGTGTTGGGGGCATTTGAAGCTACTTGCTCTTATTTTGTCATTGGACACTTTATATACTCATGATGTACTTCGATGGTACATTTTTATATAGAAAATTCAACAGGAAATATGATTTTTATGGCTAGTTTTTCATATTTAGTGAACAAGCATTCCAGATGACGACCATTTAATCAATAGTCAATCAAAATACGAGATGTCAAATGTCAATAGATTGCTTTCGAATGACATTACACACGCCATTATTTTGAATGATATTTTTCCTTCTTTTCACTAAATATGGATTAATCTCAAGAAAATCATATTTATAGTTGAATTATATATAAATTGTCCAATATGATGAAAAAAGAAGGGAAATTTGTTCTAAATCCCATCCAGAAGACAGGTGAAAAAGAAGGTGAAATTTGGAACTTTTTAGTCAAATATCTTCATGATAAATATCATGATAAATGCAGTTTTACCTTTTTAAGCAGAGTGTTTGTAGTTCATGTTAATATGATAGTTGCAATTTGATCATTGGAATGAATTCTGCATTCATTTCCAGCAGGCAAATGACCGTTTTCAGAAAGAAATTTGAGAATGAGAATTAAAAATGCCCGTTTATTATGAACATTCAAGAAAATTTCCTCGAATTCAGAGATGATTTTGTTGACTATAATATACGAATACAAAACTAACTGCACAATCAAAGCTTTTCTATTTTTCCTCTACTTAAACTTTTTATGAGAGAGTGATTGTCTTCTATTATTAATTCATCATTATAAATTAAGCTCTGTTTACTACTGAACTTAGATGGAGTAAAATCCTCGCGGTGAATTGCATATACCCACATTTTCGATAGCTCCTCGTCCAACGGGAAACTAAAAGCATGAACTTTTGAACCACCCACATAATTCCCCCGACAAAAGGGAACACAACACTTGAAAGGCATTGTTATTTCGCCGATCACAACACAAAATATTTCACAAAACAGTAATTTTTCCGCCAATTATTTTGATGAATAAACAACAAAAGAATTCGGGACCGTTTCAAAACCATACGCGAATCACCGATGAATTAACACGAACTGACGCGTTAGTCGACAAGCGATAAAATAAAACACTGGCCTCTCTTGGTGACGTCACGAGCTGTTTACGTCAGAGTCTGCTGGCCTTGTTGTATCAGTGGTAACGGTTAGACACACTAGGGTCCCTTGATGGAAATTGACGTTGAAGTCATCTTAACAGGGTACGGACAGATCATAGCTGCATTCTTTTTTAATGATCTAGAGACTTTAGTTTTGTCTACTGGCATCCCTGACATTGCTATCACGTCTGTCAGATTGGTCTGAGGGTTTTCGGGGCTGAAGTTCATGAGTTTTTGTCAAAATTGGGAAATTCAAGATAGAGGATCCAATATGGCGAACGAATTTTGTAATTATGATCCGATTCTATACAAAATTCAAAATTGGTATCTGTAATTTTGTAAGATCTCTTTTAACGCCTATGAATGAGACGTGACAGCAATGTCATGTAAGGGACGCCAATACACGAAACCAAAGTCACTAAAAAGAGAAAGGAGCTATGATCTGTCCGTACCCTGTTAGATGACAAATACGTCAGTTTGCATCAAGGGACCCTTGAGTAAATGAATGCCATAATTCATCATCAGTCCACTCGCCCATTCTTTCAATTGTGGTTCTACGATCATTATAGGAATTTCCTTTCGTGCGCTCCAAGATATAAAAAAAAAGTTATCAGAAAATAATAATAATAATAATAATACGTCTTTATTCATCATTTGCAGAACAACAATAAACATTATAACAAAATATTTTACACAATCAGACACAAACTGCAATGACGAAAAGGCGAATTATCAGCATAATCAATCAATACCAGCCAATACAGTACTCACCGAATACAAGTCCATCAATTCCTCGGCGTTATACTCCTTCTCCTGATTCAACGGAACGAACCTTATATCTTTGGGAGGTTTGGCATCGTAACAGAACGGCCCACGAACGGTGTCGTAGTCGTGCGTACCAATCGCGACTAGCGATCTTTTGCGGGCTATGTTCATGTGCAACTTGTCCTGCAAGTAGAGATGGGTTTACGCCCGGCATTTTCATTTACGCCCGTATAACGCCCGGGCGCACTGAATTTGAATTTTTTATGCTAGAAATGGATAGGGAATGCAGTACGCGTCCTTTCCATAACAAATACTTGACATAAATATCATTTCTGCAAGGCAGTTTCAATGAAATGGAACAGAATCGTCACTCAATTTTCGGTTGATTTTATGGTGCTAAAATCATCAATAATACCGCAAATAAACACTGACCTCACGATTTAGTAAGTATAAGGACAAACTATAGCACAGTTGCCATATGTTGAAATAGGAATGGGAACTCCAGAAATATTTTTTACTTAATAATTCGTACATTCTTGATTATGTGTCTCACGGTCCAACAATTTGATCAAACTACAGATGTGATGTCATCAGTGATGTCACGTCAAACAGCAGCTGAAATTTAGAACTTGTTCTGAATATTTCTCATGTTGGATCGAACAATAAGGTTAGGATGTTTGTTTTCTTCATTGATTATTTATATCTTAGGAATTAACAAGAATTACTATCATTAATATTATCAATTCTTCAAAAATGCATGTCCTGGTAATTGGAATGAGGACCATTTCGGATAATTATAGGAATCAACTAGTTGAAAACTCCCATTTCACCTGAAATGGGATTTTGTTTTGGAGTGTTTCTTTCCTTGCCAGGTGGCGTTCGGCGTTCACGTTTTCATTTTGTTATGATCTCACCTCATTTCTGCAGGTATACGTTCACGCGCATATATGGATTGATAAAAATCTGAAACATCTCCCATCCATTCTCAAATAGTTTTAAAATTTACTATGGGATGTCTTCCAGTCTGACTTCATCAAAAATCATAAGTAGGACTTCTCTTCCAATATTTCTTCTTTGAAGCAATTATCTTGTACATATCTCCCTCTTTTTTTCTAAATCACTTTGTATTACAAATGCAACATAAAATACTTACCATATAATGAATTTTCATTTAATTTTTCCTTGTGATTTTTCTCATTTTAGAGAACCTTACATCATACAAATTTGATAAAATTGTTGGACCGTGAGACACGGCTTCAAGTTGTGTCTTATTGCTTATGATGAATTTGTGTTAATAATAATCATATTAATTCACATTAGAGGACATTTGGTACCCGGTGAACGTGACAACACAGGACTATGGGCGTTGTCTTGTCAGTTCTCAGCACTCAGCACAGCATTGCCAAGTCACTATAGCCAATATTTTCATGATGTTTTGTTATGGAGTATGAGAAATATTTTGACAAGCTGGTTGCTCAAAAAAAATTACAAAAATGACTATAAAATCATGGTTTCCTCCTATTAGGTTAAATGAGATATCTAATTTGGATGTAGTTTTATTCAACGATAGGGCTCTAATAACTTTTCAAAAACATGATTATAATTGGTGATCTGACAACCTTGCTTCATGAGGGGGAATGGAAGATCATCTGACCAATAATGAAACAGCATAAAAACTGACGTCACGTTTGAAATGAACTTTGAAATTCAACTATTTATAGCAACGCATGTTAAATACATGTTTCTTGAAAAAATTCTTAAAAATAAATGTTTAGTTGATAATACCTATAATTCTTTCCATTTTGTTCCTAATTCATCCAAATATTGAAGAATAAACACACAAAACTGCCAATCTCGCGAGATCTCGAAATTGGCGAAATATCGCGGTATTGTTATTCTTAAAGTCGCGAGATCTCGCTTGAGCCCCAATTCTCGCGAGATTGCATTCCCTACCTATTACTGCAGAATATTGTTTTTCAACATCTAACCTGCAAGTCGATGAAGCTCTCATATCTGGCCTTGTCGAAGGACACGTTGCGGAGGATAGCTGCGACTGCGTACGGGCGAATTCTTGTCGTATCCGCCTTTATGATCAGCCTCTCTGTGGCGCCCTCAATCGGTTTTATCGCACGAAAATTAGGAGCGGGGGCCCTGGAATTTCAGTATGATAAGGCGTTATCGGAAACTTACTCGGGTTGATCCAGGGCCTACTCTATCTCACCGGGACGGAGCATCGATTTCGTGACGTCACACTAGTAGGGACAAAATTGCCTTTCCCAATTCATTGATGTACCACGGGAAAACGGTGACAGTTATCAAAAAATGTCAAGATATCAAATATGTACAGACTAGACTTTTTCAAGAGATGAACCAATATTCACTGGTTTACGATTAATAGTTCAAGAAATATAGCATATCAAAATGAATTGACTACATGCAGAATTGTCGTTTTTTAAACAGCTGCTAGCATTTCAATATTCAATTCACAGAAATGATTCAACCATGCAAAGGCTTCTCATAGTATCTAGATTGACTGTAATTTTTTTCAAAATTCCCAAGAGCCAATAACAAACCGATATTTCGATTCAAGTAAAATGGTGATTTAGATGATTATTACAGACTAGTTCAAGAAGTTTAAACGGCCCCCTTGCTAAACCTATTATTTGTGGGTATATGCTGTCACTGACTTTTTTGTAGTAAATTTCATTGCCTACAAATCGATATGATACACTTTTACTGTACCTATCTCAGATGATTTTAGCAGCGTTTATGTCTAAAGATGATCTGGACACACTTTGATGACGTTAGAAATTATATACCTACCAGAGTAAAAGTTATTACGCAAAAACCCTGACAGTGAATTGAATATTTTCAGCTATGGAGTATATAATTTAGAAATAATCTCATATTAATGAAGATAAATTGATTTGAAAACATTTTCAAAATATGAAGATTAAAAAGAACAAAAAATATGTAGTTCTCAACAACACAATACTAAACAAAAGTCATTCTGAAAATATTCAACATAATAAAAGAGAAAAATAGCCAGATATTACATAATAACATGTACTTATAACAAAATATATATATATATATATATATTCTTGGAAATATTAGTGGGATGCAGTCTGGACCAATGGATTAATTAAATTTCTTCGTTATTTGTCGAGCTTTCGAAAATTTTTATTTTCTTTATCAAGACTAACTGAAAACATCGAATGGAACAATATATAAATGTACATCAATTGAAATTGGTATACTTACAAACATGAAATTCTATATAAAATTAGCACAAAAAGGAAACATAGGTGTATAAATAAAATGAAATGATTTGACAAAAAAATGTCATAGATGATGGTTGACTCATTTGAAGATGTTGAATACAGAGTGAGATAAATACTGATATATATAAAAATACTGATATATAAAAAATGTTTGTAGATTATATATAAAACATGAATCATTCAAGGAGGACGAGTTGATTTATTATCTTTTTGTTTCTTCAGAAGGAATGTATAAATGGTACTAAGATCGTTGATGTCTGTTCTTTTGTTCATCGTTTTATCATTTTCATTAATATGTACCATTTCAAGAAAGAGGCGTTTGTTGAGATGTTTTTCATAATCCAGAATTTTGGCATTATCATAATTCATTATATGATCTTCATCTATAACATGTTCAGCAAGGCTACATGATTTTAAATTTCTTCTACAATCACTTTTATGTGAAGTGATTCTGTCTTTTAACATTCTACAAGTTTGACCAATATAAACTAGATTACAATTATTGCAGGGAATTTCATAAATAATATTCGATCTATTTTTGACTGGTACAGGAGTTTTCAATTTGGTATGAAGATGAAATATTGTTTTCAAATTTGTTTTAGCGAATTTAATATTTGTTTCATTTTTAAAGAGACTGATTAATTTGGGAGTTAGATCAATTATGTGTGGTAAAGATTTGAATATTGAAATTTGATTATTTCTTGGTAGGGGAACGTCAACATTAAATGAACTGAAAATAATTTTATTAACTAATGATTTTGGATACGAATTTTCGATAAGGATGTTTCTTAATTCTACTAGACATTCATTTCTCAAAGTTACGTGGGTGACTTTTTCTACTCTATTTTTGAGGTTACGTATTAAGTTAATTTTCATTTTCATTGGATGATGTGAATGATAATTAATAAAACGATTACTATTGATTGGTTTCCTGTACCATCTAGTTATGTAGACGATCTAATTCTTTCTGTACCAGAAAATTGCATTGATGAGATTCTCAATATTTTCAACAGCTTTAACACTAATATTCAATTCACTGTTGAAAAAGAAATTGATCAATCAGTTCCTTTTCTAGATATGAAATTGATTAGAACGAACAATAATATAATTATAACTAGATGGTACAGGAAACCAATCAATAGTAATCGTTTTATTAATTATCATTCACATCATCCAATGAAAATGAAAATTAACTTAATACGTAACCTCAAAAATAGAGTAGAAAAAGTCACCCACGTAACTTTGAGAAATGAATGTCTAGTAGAATTAAGAAACATCCTTATCGAAAATTCGTATCCAAAATCATTAGTTAATAAAATTATTTTCAGTTCATTTAATGTTGACGTTCCCCTACCAAGAAATAATCAAATTTCAATATTCAAATCTTTACCACACATAATTGATCTAACTCCCAAATTAATCAGTCTCTTTAAAAATGAAACAAATATTAAATTCGCTAAAACAAATTTGAAAACAATATTTCATCTTCATACCAAATTGAAAACTCCTGTACCAGTCAAAAATAGATCGAATATTATTTATGAAATTCCCTGCAATAATTGTAATCTAGTTTATATTGGTCAAACTTGTAGAATGTTAAAAGACAGAATCACTTCACATAAAAGTGATTGTAGAAGAAATTTAAAATCATGTAGCCTTGCTGAACATGTTATAGATGAAGATCATATAATGAATTATGATAATGCCAAAATTCTGGATTATGAAAAACATCTCAACAAACGCCTCTTTCTTGAAATGGTACATATTAATGAAAATGATAAAACGATGAACAAAAGAACAGACATCAACGATCTTAGTACCATTTATACATTCCTTCTGAAGAAACAAAAAGATAATAAATCAACTCGTCCTCCTTGAATGATTCATGTTTTATATATAATCTACAAACATTTTTTATATATCAGTATTTTTATATATATCAGTATTTATCTCACTCTGTATTCAACATCTTCAAATGAGTCAACCATCATCTATGACATTTTTTTGTCAAATCATTTCATTTTATTTATACACCTATGTTTCCTTTTTGTGCTAATTTTATATAGAATTTCATGTTTGTAAGTATACCAATTTCAATTGATGTACATTTATATATTGTTCCATTCGATGTTTTCAGTTAGTCTTGATAAAGAAAATAAAAATTTTCGAAAGCTCGACAAATAACGAAGAAATTTAATTAATCCATTGGTCCAGACTGCATCCCACTAATATTTCCAAGAATATTATTATAGAACAGTCACGAAAGCTTACCCTTGTTATATATATATATATACAGGGTGTCTCTAGACCAGTGGGACAGTTAAATATCTTCTGCACCAATAGGAATTTTCAAAATATCATAATTCCACATCATATCGCATCATGAGTGCTATCTTCAGGAATGACTATATTTTATACGAGGGGCGCAAGGAAGGCTCACAAAATCAAACATCAATTTTTTCAAATGGAACACCCTGTATTTCATTGCATTTTCATATTCTCCTTGAAGAGCTGAATTCAACGACCTAGCACACTTGGGCTCTAGCGGAAATGATTTCCGAGATATAGGGTGTGGAAAATCGAGATTTTTCATTTTTGGGAATTTTTTGTGTCAAAACTATTCATTATTGGTCAAAACGGCTTACATGTCCATATCTCAACTTTTGATTTACTATTTACTCGTATTTAATTGAAACAAATACAGGGTGGTGTAGAATTCTCAGTTTCAGTCGGAATTCCACACCACCCTGTATTTGTTTCAATTAAATACGAGTAAATAGTAAATCAAAAGTTAAGACATGGACATGTAAGCCGTTTTGACCAATAATGAATAGTTTTGACACAAAAAATTCCCAAAAATGAAAAATCTCCATTTTCCACACCCTATATCTCGGAAATCATTCCCGCTAGAGCCCAAGTGTGCTAGGTCGTTGAATTCAGCTCTTCAAGGAGATTATGAAAATGTATTAAACTACAGGGTGTTCCATTTGAAAAAATTGATGTTCGATTATGTGAGCCTTTCTTGTGCCCCTCGTAGAAAATATAGTCAATCCAGAAGTTAGCACTCATAATGCCATATGATGTGGAATTATAATATTTCGAAAATTCCTATTGGTTTAGGAGATATTCAACTGTCCCACTGGTCTAGGGACACCCTGTATATATATCACAAACTAAAAAATGGGCTCAAAGCCTCATATTCGTCCGGAAAGGCTGATGATTCTTCTTTTCTTATCATTTGACTACCTAGGGAATTACTGTGACATCATTAATATGGGGAAATTAGGTAGGTATAATACTAAATAAATCTTTATGTGCTCTTTATTTCTAATTTATTTGGGACTCATTGTAGGTAGCTTAATAATGTAAATAAATGAAAATACCTTTTAGCAAGATTCAAAATGAGCTGATAGTGGATGAAATATTGTTTTGCAAAATCATAAAACAACTGACACTTGTACTCAACTGAAGTCAAGGCTGTACAAAAGGAGACCAGTGTTTACACTGTTTTGGTCATCATACTATTTTAGTCTGGTAGGCAATAAATTTCCCTACCAAACCAAGCTGGTAACTTTACCAAATAGACAGCTTATACCACACTGACTAAGAGTATTTAGTTGAAATATAGTCATTAGTGAAATTAACCAAGACATGGTATAAACATGACCATTGAAGTTGGATACATTTTGTTATCCAAAACCTCGAAATATAGGCATTATTGTTGTATCCTGAAAACTTGAAGAAATGTTGATATGTGTTATTGCCACTAAGGGCATTGATATGATAATTGCAATATTCCTATGATCATTTTTATATGTAAATTATCCATAAACATTATGCTTCTCTTGATTTCTGAATTTATATGTAACTTATACAAAACATAGTTCATTGAAATCTAGTCATTACTTTTGACTGGGGAATTGAACCAGTAGTGCATAAAATGTATAAAATGTGTTTATAGCCAGGTTTGAAGCATTTGACGTGTAATGGCCCTCGGCTGACGCCATCGGGCTATTATTAACGGCACAGGCAATCAACACCTACTTAATGCTCTTGATACATAAATAACTATTATGTCCTTTGAGAGAGGATGTTACACTTGTACTATCATTGACTTACTTTCCCATGAATACATTCAGTCCTTGAACTAAACCTTCCAAACATAATAGATCATAGCGATTGGCTGGTATATCAATTCTATAGATGATGTCTTCTGAAGCTGTGGATGTTAAACTAGAATCCTCTCCCTGTTCTTTAGTTATCATTTGCTTTTCTGTGGTCTATAATCAATTGATAAGAATGAGTTATAGTTCATGGGGTGATAAACATTTCAAGAAATACTTACAACTTCATCCAACTCAAGTCCGAATTCAAAACAGAGGTTCTGGAATTCATCATCAGCTGAAAAATTCAAAGATGATTTGAATAGTATTTTTACACTTTGGAAATACCAGGATACTTACTATATGTTTTTCCCAAACGCTTGAAGAGTAGGTCACGTTTAATTCCTATAGTTGGCATCCTTCTTTACACAGTTCAAAGAGTTTTATTGGAAAGATTTACAACACAACAGAAACAGCTGGATTGAAGAGGCAGTGGGCAAGACAAAATGATATCTAATTCATCTACAATAAATCTATTATTATTATTATAGTATTATCATTCCACAAAAGACAGAAAATATAATGAATGGTTTAGTTTTTTCCCTAAAATATTTAATTTTTCCATGTAAACATGAAACATACATGTAATCTAACCTGTAAATACATCATCTTAACCTAATTGTCTTCTTTTCTCTTCTCATAGTCCTTTACTGAACACTGTTGTTGTGTTGTGACACCACTGATAGTTGGTTTAGTTGATTGTGTTCATGATGAGTTGTGTCTTACAAAAAGAAAACAAAAATACAATATTTCAAGAAGAAGAAAATTAGGTTGGACAGATTGACAGAATTTTGTTATTTATTTTGATTTGATAGTTTTTTTTTATAGAAAAAATAAACTGAAAAGCAGTACTGTTATAATAGTAGGGATTTTAGGATTTACGTGAATTTCGTGTAATAAATCAAGAGATATGTCCAAGCCTATTACATTTGTTACCGGCAATGCCAAGAAATTAGAGGAAGTTATTCAAATATTAGGTTCTGATTTCCCTAGACAACTTGTTAGTAAATCGGTAGAGCTTCCCGAACTACAAGGAGAGCTAGACGAAATATCAATATTGAAAGCTAGGGAAGCGCATAGACAAATATCTGGACCAGTCATTGTGGAAGACACGGCACTTTGTTTCAATTCTTTGAAGGGTTTACCAGGACCTTACATCAAATGGTTCCTTCAGAAACTGGGGCCTGAAGGCTTATATCAAATGTTACATGGCTTTGAAGATAAATCTGCACAAGCTGTATGTACTTTTGCCTATCACACTGGTGATGAAAATGAGGAGGTTGTTCTTTTTCAAGGCAGAACTGATGGGAGTATTGTGAGCCCTAGAGGGCCTAGAGATTTTGGGTGGGACCCCTGTTTTCAGCCTCTTGGCTATGAAGTTACTTATGCAGAGATGCCAAAGAGTGAAAAAAATAAGATTTCACATAGGTATAAAGCATTGGAGTTACTTAGGAAACATTTTGTGAAATCAGAAGTGTAGTTCAGAAGATATTCAGTCAATATAGTCATAAGCATCATCTTTATTTTTTCAATCCCATAAAAAAATTTCCTCAAATTTGTGCAAAAAACTACTCAAGTGTTTGAATATGGATAGCATTTGAATATCAGTTTCAATTTTAGTAGGGCACAGTGAGGTAATTGTAAAGGCACATTAGCGCCTTTCAAATATTCCTGCTAATTAAAAAAAATCTCACTATATTTATATCTTGCCCTTGATTTCAGGAGATTGAAAGTTCCTAAAATCCATTATAAAAATACAGGGCCATATTTAAAAAAACAAAGATTATAATGGCAGCTAAACAAAACATCAGTTCAAAAATCTGATAACACCATCTTGTTATTCAGAAAAAATAGCAATGAAAATGTGTAATTTTATTGTTAATATTTATTCAAATCTTGATTCAAATAGTCTTAAAAAATAAAAAAGAATATTGGATTGTTTCCAAAAATCTTGGAAGTATTGGGAATTATTCAAATTTCAAAATGACATTTTGTTAGACATAATATTGAGCAACTTTGCTGTGGTTTAACCATAACTGACCCTGTATCTCTTATGGTTTACAAGATCTCAATGATGAGGCTGGAATTCCAGCCATCCTTGGTGGAATTTGATTCAACATGTGCTAGACAAGGCAGCTGATATTTTTTTCATCTGACAAAAATATATATATATTTTTTAAAGTTTTTATTGTACAACCGGGAATAAAGTGACACTTTATCGTCCAGATTCGCCGGCGTAAAGAAGCACTTTAGCACCCTTCTTGCCCCAGTGGCATACATAATTTGGCCAAATGAATTCAAAATCATTAATAAATTTCATATTGGCAGTAAATAAATGACATTGACAAATTGATATTCATTTTACAGGACATTCCCAGATAACACAGGATATCCTATGGATATCCTTCTCAAGTCCATTTCAGGTCGGGATATCCTGGGACATGAAATGGATATCCATAGGATATCCGTCAGAGGATATCAAATGGATATTCTGATGCGGATCACCTATGGACGTCCATAAGATGTTCGTTTAGCGAACAAAAATTGTTGATTGAGAATGGTTCAAAACAATACGAATCATCACAAATATCACATGCAAATCACATGTTTATTAGAAATTCAAAGGTAGTTTTCCATCATATAACTATTGTTATGTAGGTATAATATGTTTATAGCCACAATTAAGATATCCGATGCAAATATGAAATCGTATGAAATCATATAAATAACAACACCACAGTTTGGAATTTTTCTCTGTTGTTCAATGTTTTCGTACAAAAATATACAATCACTCGAGAATAGCTCTCATATATTTACTTTTTTGTGGTCTTCAGATGGACATCCATGAGATATTCATCCATGGATTTATAGCGGATATCCATCAGAAGATATCTTATGGATAGCCATAAGATATCCAAAGAAAACATAAAATCATATTTATGTCAAAATAACTTTTGTTCTTCAACATTTTCGCACAAAAATATGATTTTTCAGAAATAACTTGTATCTCCATTTTTTTCCTTGGGATTGAGATGGAGATCCATAAGAAGATATATTCGCATCCCTGAATTCAAAACTGGGTAGGTATTTTCCCAATGGATAGTAATAAAATATTCTGAAGCAATAAAATATAAATCAACATGGCATTCGCGTGAATGACAAATTTTCCAAAAGAAAAATGGAAAAATCTAAGTGAATCTAATTCTTGAATTCACCTTAACAGCATTTCGGAAAATAGCTTCATTGTTGCGCTAGGGATAACGCGATTCAAATCCGGCCACCTCGCCTCCTCTATTTATCTCTCAAAAGATTGAATTCAATTCGAATTAACCTCCATGGCTAGAATCGTTCTGATTGGTCTGAAAATGCATCCATGTCGAAAGTCATGGTAAATTGAATTCTTTCATGAGGTTTGAGCTAAAGCTTAAGGTGGTTCACTCCTATAACTTTTTCATTATTGTAGGTAGTAAAACGTCAATTGGGGTCATGAATTATAGTTCATTTTATATTATTCGACATATCTACTTGCTTTACCGCACTTTTGGTTTAACCGAGGATGGCATTTTCAAACGGGACACCCTGCATTTTATTCCATAATCGGTTAAGGATTATCATAACGAATTCAACGATACTGTGTTTGATAGGATTTCTACAAACGATTAGGAAGATATTCACATTTCCATATCCTCAATGAGCATATGAAAACTTCGAATGCAAATATCTTCGTAATCGTTTGAAATAACCCTATCCAATCCGGTACCGTTGAATTCGTTATAATAGTTCCTAATTCATTATGGAATAATATACATGGTGTTCTATATTGTTAAGGATATTTAGTAAATATCCCTGAAAAATATCTCATGGATATTTGTGAACAATATCTTATGGATATCCCTGAAAAATGTCTCATGGATATTTGTGAACAATATCTTATGGATATCCCTGAAAAATGTCTTATGGATGTCCCTGAAGGATATCCTATAGAAGTCCAACTCCTTCCACTCGGCACGTCCATTGGACGTCCATAAGATATACATCGGATATCACTGGATATTCTCTGGATATCCCAAATATCCTAAATGGACGTCCAATGGATGTCCATCGAATGTCCGTGTGTTGACTGGGTTGAGAGAAATTCTGGATTGAATAGCCAGGAATGTAGTTGTTTTCTGTTGAATACACCCAAAAAGCATTAATATTTTCATCACATGGAGAATGTGAATTCTCAATGTATTTTTTATACACAGAGTGACATAGAAAAAAGTACATTGTATAGTGCCACACCATGGAGGACACTAAAATGAGAAAAAAAGTTTCCATGAAAATGGGTCCTCAAGGCCTTTGTTTTTTTTTATTTATTTGCACAAACAATTATAAATATATATACTTCAACAATTACATTAAAAAACCCCTGTTTACCAAATTTCATCCATTTCTTGGGTCTCTGGCTAAAGATATTCAAAAAACAAAACAAAAAAAATTCAACATCCTGTATCTTTTAACCTACGGCCTTGTGGACCCATGCTCATGGGATCTTGTTTCTTCATTTTAGTGTCATCTATTGTGTGGCACTATGCAATCTACTTTTTTCAATGTCACCCTGTATATACAGTGTCATTCATAAAGTCGGCATCATATGGGAAAAACTTTTATTAATGACTTATTTTGAAATTCTAGTTGGACGTTAAGTTTTGCTTCAAAAAAGATGAAAAATGGCCTACTCAAACGGGGTCACGTGACATTCGCTACATGTCAAAAGTGACATTTTTTCAAATTAATCGCTGAAAGTAGGCTTATTTGTTCGAATATCGAAAAAGTTTACTTGAAAAAGTTGTTTCTATTTGAATTTTACATATGTGACTCAGATTTTATCTTTCTATCACATTATTTAGATTTCGATATTTTTTTGAAATTTTCGAAATTTCTGTAATATTAAAAAAATTGTTATTTCGATAAAACTACTTCATACCAGTAGTTTCATCATGCTACTAACTTTCAATTACTAATTATCACTAATTATCGACAAAAATATGATTTTCTTCAGAAAATAATAATCTCCGCTTCAAAATTCCATTGTTCGATGCAAACATAACATCAAAATTCTGTTATGTTTGAATCGAGCATTTAGAAACGAAATTCATTTGAATTTATTTTTCCAGTACTGAAAAGATCAGTTAAAATGAATTTTGTTTCTAAATGCTTGACGATATATCAACTTTGCATCAAACATAACAGAATTCGGAAGCGGGTGTTATCATTTTCTGAAGAAAATCATATTTCTCTCCATAATCAGTGATAATAAGTAATTGAAAGTAAGTAGCATGAAAAAGCAACTGGTATGAAGTAGTTTCGTGGAATTAACAATTCTCCAAATCTTACAGAAATTTCGAAAAAAAAAAAAAATCAAAATCTAAAAGTTGCAATAGAAAGATCAAATTCGAGAAGCATGTGTAAAATTGAAATAGAAACAACTTTTTCAAGTAAACTTTTTCGATATTCGAACAAATAAGCCTACTTTCAGCGATTAATTTGAAAAAATGTCACTTTTAACATGTAACGTGACCCTGATTGAGTATGCCATTTTTCATCTTTTTTGAATCAAAACTTAACGTCCAACTCGAATTCCAAAATAAGTCATTGATGCTGACTTTATGAATGACACTGTATATCCATTTTTTCATGTTCATAATTCATCTGAGAATATTTCTTTTCTATACTTTTTCTAGTTTGTGGTTTCCTAAGGTAGTCATTTCTTTTCAATAAATCATTTTCTCAAAATTCATATACATCATTCTATTGATTCTATTCAACAAACGCTGTTGTTAGAGTTGAAATGGGAAAAAGAAATGTTTAGTGCCACCTTGTAGTAACTGATGAATCATTTCATTTGTTTTTTTGTTTTTCAAAATCGGATAGTTAATGGCGGCGCTATGGCTTGGGGCGTTTTTTGTCAGTCATCCTGTATACAGGGAGTCCCGAAATTACATAGAAAGATTTCAACCACAGATTCTAGGAACAAAAATAGTGAAAAAAATCAAATGAACATGGGTCCAAAAATGCCCCCCTGGGGGGTTTAAAGACATCTACAGGGGAGCCAGAGATAATGCGGTTTTATGTGAATATTTTCCAAACCCTCTGTGATGAAATAACCAAATTTTGCACATGTACCCAACTTTTTATTACCGATTTGGAAATGTTGAGACATTTCCGAAATTTTGATCAGGACCGCCGAAAATAGGTGGTCATTTTGAGCAGTTCATGTGATTCTTGGACGTTATCAGTTTCCTAATAAAATAAAATAATAAAACAAAAATATCCTTATATCATTTTGATTACTTTCTGGGACGCCAATGGAAATAATTTAATTCGGATTACATCAAATGGAGCTCCGTTTCACCGCAAATAAGCATACCAAGTTTCATCGAAATCTGCCGTAAGTTCAAGCCGTAATTAATGAAGAACCGATTTTTTCTGAAAACTTTGACACCTTGTATATCGAAAACAAAGCAAGTTAGGACATATGTTCATTAGAAAAAAAAGTCTTATTTTTGCCCAAATAACCGACCCTTAACGTTTGGCGGTTTAACCCTGGGTCACCCTGTAAATTGAAATAATACGCATATTTTTATTTTATAGAAACGAGGAGAGATAATCCCAAATAATCAAGTGAAATGTAGGCATAACAAGTTGGGTGCATGTACAAAATGTGTTTTTCAATCACAGAGGGTTTCAAAATTATTTTAAAAAATTATCCTTCGGATGGCTATAACCCCCCCGGAGGGCCATTTCTGGACCCATGTTTATATTAAGTTTTTTCACTATTTTTGTTCCTAGAATCTACGGTTGAGATATGTCTATGTCTACTATACAGGGTGTCCCAAAATTGCTGGGATACAGAGCTACCACGTGTATAGGAGGTCAAAATAAGTTGATTGGACCCAATTTATTTATGTGCCAAAATGTACCGTTTGTCCGTGAGTAGGGTTCTAAGTTCACATAAAAAAAAACATTTTTGTACGCTGCTCAGAAACAAGTTAAGCGAATTTTAATTTCTTTTTGGTAATCGAAGAATTTCAGGGGGTGAGGGTTGTTTTAACCCTTCTACAATTTCTTTTAGATTTATTCGATTACTAAAAGGAAAGTAATCCTCTGGAATACACTATAACAGGGTGTCCCTAGACCAGTGGGACAGTTGAATATCTCCTGAACCAATAGGAATTTTCAAAATATTATAATTTCACATCATATCGCATTATGAATGCTTACTTCAGGAATGACTATATTTTATACGAGGTGCGCAAGAAAGGCTCACAAAATCGAACATCAATTTTTTCAAAATGGAACACCCTGTATTTCATTGCATTTTCATATTCTCTTTGAAGAGCTGAATTTACCGACCTAGCACACTTGGGGTCTAGCGGGGATGATTTCCGAGATATAGGGTGTGGAAAATCGAGATTTTTCAATTTTGGGAATTTTTTGTGTCGAAACTATTCATTATTGGTCAAAACGGCTTACATGTCCGTATCTTAACTTTTGATTTACTATTCACTCGTATTTAATTGAAACAAATACAGGGTGGTGTAGAATTCTGACTGAAACTGTTAATTCTACACCACCCTGTATTTGTTTCAATTAAATACGAGTGAATAGTAAATCAAAAGTTAAGACATGGACATGTAAGCCGTTTTGACCAATAATGAATAGTTTCGACACAAAAGATTCCCAAAAATGAAAAATCTCGATTTTCCACACCCTATATCTCGGAAATCATTCCCGCTAGACCCCAAGTGTGCTAGGTCTTTGAACTCAGCTCTTCAAGAAGAATATGAAAATGCAGTGGAATACAGGGTGTTCCATTTGAAAAAATTTATGTTCGATTTTGTGAGCCTTTCTTGCGCCCCTCGTATAAAATATAGTCATTCCTGAAGTTAGCACTCATAATGCGATATGATGTAAAATTATAATATTTTGAAAATTCCTATTGGTTCAGAAGATATTTAACTGTCCCACTGGTCTTGGGACACCCTGTATATTGCAAAATTTCATCAAATTCGTTTCACTTGTTCCTGAACAGCGTACAAAAATGTGTTTTTTTATGTGAACTTTGAACCCTTCTCACGGACAAACGGTACATTTTGGCACATAAATAAATTGGGTCCAATCAACTTATTTTGACCTCTTCTATACGTGGTAGCTCTGTGTCCCAGCAATTTTGGGACACCCTGTATAATAGTCTACTCCTATTTCGAAAAATTGCCTGAGTTACCATGGTACCTAACGTGGATTCCAACAATGCAACCATCATAGAGGTAAAAAAGTATTCACAATGAAAATTCAAATATAATGGTCCTGTTAATTGCCCTCGCTATCGCTCACGCTACGGCCATTGAAAGCCTATTTGACGCCGTTTGATATACAGGGTGAGTCATGAGAAACTGTACAGTGTGTCCAGTTTTCGATGCTTTTGCATGATATCTCAGTTATCTTTGGAGATAGAACCTTGCGGTATTCGCCGTCCTGTGCCACTTTTTTGTGAAACTCAAGATGACCTATTCAGATTTTGCAGGACTGTTTCCGTTTATGAGATACAGGGCGATTTTGAAAATTTATACTTTTTGGACCCCCTCTATATCTACGAAGTTTATCAGCGAAAATGTCAAATTAAAATCTTAACCCATAGAGAATTTTATGCAGAATCCAGTGGTGCACAAACATTTTTTTTCGGGGTGTGGTTTTGAAAATACGACTCAAACTTATGATTTTTTAAATTGAACACCCTGTATTTTATAGGCTCATTAAATTCCTTATTATTTTCCCTTCGAAATGATATATGATGTATGAATATAACATCTTCAAAAATGTTAAAAAATCACTAAAACATTGAATTTTAATAGTGGGCTATGGGTTTTTCGAGGGATTTTTATATAAAGAAATTCACAATTGAAGGAATATTTCCTTTGATTGTTCCATGAAGGGGAAAATTACGATTTCAACACTAATTAACTTACAATACACAAGACTTAGATCCTTGATATCCACAAATATATATAGTAATGAAAAGTTTATAATGTAGAATAAGCACCTGATTGAATATTTACAAAAAAAATTGAATTTCGAAATTATTCAGTGATTTATTCATTTAATTGTACAAATTGATGTCCATTTTTCATCACAAACTTTCTCAATACATATTGATCATTGAAAGATGTCTTTGTAATTCCTGGAAAACGTCCTCTGTTGTTGCACAAAGTTCTTCAAGTATGTTGGGCCACTCACTGTATTAAGAAGTATTGAGAAAGTTTGTCAACTGTATGTTGGGGAAAATGGATATCAATTTGAACATGTCAATAAGAAGTTACTGAATAATTCCGCAATTCAATTATTTTAGTAAATATTTAATGAGGTGCATATTCTACATTATGAACTTTTTATTGCTATTTATTTGTTGCTATCAGGTACCCAAGTTTGGTGTTTTGTTAATTAATAAGTGTTGAATAAGTGTTGATATTGGTTTTGACCTCTCCATGGAAAAATTTAAAGAAATATTTCTTCAATTGGAACATGTTTCATAAGAAAAATCCATAAGCACTATCAAAATTCAATATTTTAGTGATTTTGAGCAATTTTGAAAATTTTATATTCATTCGTTATATATCATTTTGAAGACAAAAAAATAAGGAATTTAATGAGCTTATGAAATACAAGGTGTTCCATTTGAAAAATCATAAGTTTGAGTCGTATCTCCAAAACCATACCCCGAAAAAAAAATTTAAGTGCGCCACTGGATTATGCGTGAAATTCTCTATGCGATAAGATTTTGATTTGACATTGTTGTTGAGAAACTTCGTGAATATAGAGGGGGTCCAAAAAATATAAATTTTCAAAATCGCCCTGTATCTCATAAACGGAAACAGTCTTGCAAAATCTGATTAGGCCATCTTGAGTTTCACAAAAAAGTGGCACAGGACCGCGAAAACCGCAAGGTTCTATCTCCAAAGATAACTGAGATATCAGGCAAAAGCATCGAAAACTGGACACACTGTACATACTCGTACCAAGAATAGAGACCCTTGAGGGGAATACCTAATGACCATCAGAAAGTGTCTTCTTACCGTCTTTACCAATATATAGGGTGAATTATGAGATTTGGCAAAAACATCTTTTTTGCATATTTTTTCAACAGCCCCTTTGATTCATCAGATTTTTTCATGGAGTATATTCCTCTACTAAACCCTAATCGACTGACATTTCCAGAATCGGGAAAATCCAGAACGTTTTTGAAAAATTTCGATAGATTCAAGATGGCGGCTTCCAAATAATTCTTTGTTTTTGTATAAATGACGATAACTCCGTTGTTATCAACACCAAACTATTACTGCGACATATCATCTGTAAGAGAAAAAAAAGTTATTTGTAACTAAGTCATAGTGAGCTATGACCTATACATTTGAAAAACTAAAGTTGGTGCTGATATCTCAAATTCTAGAAGAGTTGGTATAAATTTCATATTTTTTTCGAAATCACTTTGAAAAACTGCCATGAGAATGTGAAATTCCTATTTGAATATTTTCATAAATAAAGAAGTTACAGAGGAGACATGAAAATGATCAAAATCTGTTTTCTGCGTATAAAACAAAAACGAATAGATTTTATCATAATATTTTTTCACATTATAGTTGGCCTTGACCAACTCCACATTTGGTGTCATTTAACCGACCTCGTATCTCTCACCGTTAAAAAGATACCCATGGTGCGCATGGTAGGGACACACTGTATATTATTTTTATGTCTCTACCTAGCGTTAGTCCAGGGACTTTGAAGCGGTACGCCGCTGTGAACAGATTATTTTGAACGAGTTTTATTCCAACCCATAGGTAATTTGTTCGTATATTATTGATCCCTACTGCAAATATACAAATACAAATATGTACCTATATTTCCGCGTTAAGGCTTTGAAAACACAATTAGAATTACCTTTATATGCAAACCTATTACATACAAAGTGGGTAAATCATTACCAACAAATAAAGGCGCGGGTCCTCATAAAAACGTTGTAAAATGGATGTGAAGCAAGACGTCCGCATAGTTAATTATTTCTTCAAATTTGGAAAGCTATTAGGCGTCACTCCTTTGAATAGAGAAAACCATTTTACATTATGTGTAATTTACAAGCTTTACGTTCTCATTCTCCTCATCTCAACAATATTTGGAAGTTTATTTTCAATAATCAGCAGATATACTGGCTTTTGGACACAGAGTACAATATCGCAAGTGATTCTAGAAAGCGTGGAAATCATCTCGGAAATGCTGTTCATGATCTGCACCTTCCTTGGAGCTCTCAGATATGGAAATATCTGGAAAGATATATTCTCAACCCTTGAAAAGGTAGATAACGAGCTAAGGATGGAGAAACTAGTATTATTTGAAACTGACAAATATTGGTATATTGTGAAAATTGTTTTATTCCATTTCGCGTACTTCTGTCTCCACGCTTACGAATTATTGATGTGGACTGGAAAATCGTCAAGAGTCAATGAGTACGGCTACATCCTGTATAGAATCATCATGTATTACCAGTTCTTCATGACTTTGTTTGCAGTGAAAATTATAGAAGTGCTCCAATCTAGATTCCAAGACTTGGAGAAGATTTTGAAAGAAGTTTCGTCAAGGAGTAATATCATCATTTCTAAAACTGATAACAACATCCTAAAGAGATTATGGAAGCTGCGGAAGCTGTATGGATCACTGTATAATGTCCACCAGAATGTTAATTTGGTGTTTCGGTATTCAATTTTCTATGGGACGCTATCGAATATTTTGATTGTTTTGGGAGATTTGAATTACATCGTGCAATTCGCACATACGAGCGATGAAGAATTCAACATCGGTGTTTCCTTCATCAATACTCTCTACTCAGTATTTTATTCAGTAAGTATTCCCCCAAAATACAATATACAAGGTGGTTAAGGTAAGTCACACATTTGAAGTTTCCTAACGTAATAATATTTATGCTGTTATCGTTTATTCCTCCTCTCTATGAATAAAGATGATGAAGTCGCCTAGAATAAAACACTCCGGAAGTAAAATACCTCTCCATTCGGATTTCCGGGCGAGAGATACTCGAGGGGACTCATCTCTGAAGATTATTTTTTGCAACATCCGCGGACTCAACAAAAACATCAATGTGAACAGAAACTCAAGTGAACTCGTCCAACAAGGTCCACATGCTCTGTCCTGGTTACGAACCCCATTCTCGATTCAGGTCCAAAGGTGGAGTCAGCTGCCTTTACCTATATATCGGCTAATGATAATGAATATAACAACCTCTTTGAGTTTTATCACTCAAACTGTACTTCATTCTGGAGAACTATCCAACAGCTGAAATCATAATCATGGGAGACTGCAATGTACACAACGCAGCCTGGCTCCGATTCTCTAACAAAGCAGATGATGCAGGTCGTCAAACTGAGGCCTTCGCCGCCATCACTCATGGTCTAGAACAACTAGTCGAACTACCAACCCGCATTCCAGATGCCAACAACCAGTCTGCCAATACAGTAGATCTTTTTCTCACCAGATCCATATAGAATAGGAGTTTGTGCCCCACTTGGAAACTCTGACCACACCCTCATCTCCACAACCTGCTCTTTCCATGTACCATCCAGCACCACAATTCCTACCCGTCTCATGTGGCATTACAATTCGGCCGACTGGGAAGGTCTTCGTATGTTTTTTTCAGCGTTTCCATGGAAGAGAGTTTGTTTCTCCTCAGCAGATCCAACACGATGTGCTGAGACAATTTCTGAAATCATCATGTTGGGGATGCAAACCTACATACCGAACACTGCAAGGAGAACATCTTCTGATGAGGCCTGATTCAGTAGAAACTGCTCTAGAGCTGTCGCTTCCAACAGGCAGCATTCCATCGATGGCAGAAAAATCCAGGCCCTGAGACTAGAGCAGAATATGCCGAGGATAGAGGCATATGCAATGAGACAATTCGATCATCAAAGGATGCTCATAATGCCAAATAAAATCACAACTTGTTGAATCTCCTAACGGATCCCGTTCATTTTGGTCCTTCGCCATAGCTGTAGAAAGAAACTTCACTTCCAGCTCGTTTCCTCCTCTAACCAAGGAAGATGGAACACTAGCCACAACTGCCCAGTATAAAGCCAACATTTTTGCGCATTTATTTGCTGGAAATTCCACTCTGGATTCATCGGGAAAACAACCTCCAAACATAACGCCAATTGACAGTCATATGCCCGAGATCACCTTTCGCCAACGTACTATGAGGAAGATTTCATTGGGTCTCGACAGCAACAAAGCTTGTGGCTCCTACGGAATCCCACCGATTGTTCTCAAGAAATGTGCTCCCGAACTAACACCTATTCTCTGCAAGTTGCTCAACTACTCTTACCCCCGTCCAACTGGAAAATTGCAAGATTACAACCAGTTCCTAAAAATGGCAAAAAGACCATACCTGCAACTACAGACCGATCGCACTGCTATCTATTATTTCAAAGATCATGGAGAAAGCTATCAACATCGAGCTCATGAAATACCTAAAACATTCAGGTATCATCAACGATAGGCAATGTGACTTTCAGTCATCAGAGAGATCAACTGGTAACCTGCTCGCTTACGTCTCACATATATGGCAGCAATCTATAGAAAAATATGGTGAATTCTTAGCCGTGGCACATGATATCTCCAAGGCATTCGATCGAGTCTGGCACCACTCTGCGTTTTCTCTCAAACAGGTCTCTCCATGCAGTGGTCGACGGGGTTTCATCTAACTCTCTTATCATAAATGCTGATGTTCCGTAAGGATCAATTCCAGCACCAACACTATTTCTACTCCATATCAACGATTTGTTGGAAGCAGCTTCATGTCCAGTACACAGCTTCGCGGATGATAGTACCGTCCATACCGCCTTCTCTTCCAGGGCTCCAATACCAGCCAGGCAAATCAGAAACGAACGAGGAAGAAATGTTGACAACATAAATATGGACTTGGCAACAATTCTCGAATGGGGATCCAATAACTTGGTAGATTTCAATGCAAACAAAACACAGGCATGCCTTTTCTCTAGATAAGCCGATCTCACTGTGCCCAACATAAGATTGTCAGGAGTAACCATACCTTTGAAGACATCCATTTCGATGCTTGGTATTACTATCAGCAATAACCTTTCTTGGGAAAATCACGTGAGATCAATTGCTAAAAGTGCATCCCAAAAACTTGGTTTTCTGTTTCGGGCCAGGAGCTATTTCACTTCCAGTCAGCTGCTTATGATCTATAAGGCACAGATCCGACCTGTCCTATAATACTGTTCCCATGTTTGGAGTGCAGCACCCAAACATACCCTGAAACTGTCTGACCAAAAAAGGGCAATTCGTCCCGTGGGTGATGCCTTGCTCACAAACTCACTCACTTCTCTCGAACACCCGTAGAAAAGTTGGCGATCTGGCTCTATTTTATAGAAATTTTCATGGTCGATGCTCTTCTGAAATATCAAGAATTGTTCCTCCCTTGGCAGTCCCCACGAGATTAACCCGTCGAGTTGAGGCCTCGCACCCCTTGATGATCACTTTAGAGACCTGCAGAACATCTCTTTCCAAATACTCGTTCATCCAACGAACAGCGAGGTTCTGGAACACATTGCCAAGGGAGCTGTTCCCGAAGGCATATGACCCCCAGAAATTTAAGACCAACCACCAATTATTACCTTATTTCCATTGGTTCTCACGATGTTCTCTGAGCATTACAGGACATCCCTTTTCGTGGGAACCAGAACATAAAAAAAACATTTTCGTTCATTTTATGAACTATCGTGAAAATACTTTGAGTTTCTCTCTCTTCGAGTATATTGGCTTTTTCCTAGCTGATTATAAGGATTCCTTTTCGTGTGCTCTAAGCGATAAAAAAAAGCTTAAAATCGAACATTTTCATGCTCTTTCTGTTTTGTGATTTTTAGAAACCTTCAATATTTAAGATTGTCCTATGGATATTCGATAATTTTGTTCAATTTCTTTTTTAATTCAACAATCTACAAGTTTCATTCGGTAGGGACAACCCGCGCTGAATTATTTTTTTCTTATATAGATCACCCCTTTTTTAAAGATTAAAACAAATTATGCAAACATAAAATTTAAAGAAAAATAGATGCATATTTAATTATAAATTGATAAGAACCATATTTATTTGAAACTTCATCCCGAAAACTACGGGCTTTTGGAAAAAAGTTTATTATTAGCACCAAATCAACCCTTGAGTGTTTCTACAATATGTCCTTTGTTTTTAGACTGCATCAGTGTCCATAGTAATGAGCTGTGACAGACTGGAGAAAATTGGCCAAAATATGGTGACGACGTGTTATTTATACAGGAATATTTTCGAAAAAACGACAGTTACTAATGAGTTCGTCTCATTGGCAGAGTATACCAACAATATGATACCCACTTTTTCAGCTGCAGGATTTTTTCAAGTGAACCAACAGTTGATGTCAACCCTCATTTCTGCGATTATAACATATTTCATCATTATTATTCAGTTCAATTTAAGATTCTGAATAAAAATAGTGTTAGTGTAGAAAAGACTAATTAATGGACACTCCCTGATTATCTAATATACAGTATGATGCAAATGTATGGAATAAATTCATTATTTCAGAAATGGGCGACATTTGAAAAAAATCCAAAAACATAAATTATGATAAATTAAGTCTGGCAACAGTGGTTGTGAACCTCTTTTACATCATACTGATGAGATGTATATAGTTGACATTTTTGTTGAAGGTTGAGATTACTAGCGTCTGGAGGACGCGGCTGATTGTACATGTTATTGCATGTTATTAAGTCTTTGAATTGTAGATACTGATGACACAAAACTGACACTTTGAATACTGATATGAGGATTTGGAGGTTGAGGCCATAAAATGAAAAATGAAATCAGGATATCTAACCTAAATAACTCAGCATTCATGTGTACATCATGAAAGAAACTGAATAAATTCATTCTTAAATTAATTACTAATAATAAGACTAGTGAAAATGGCAAGTAAGTTGATATATTGTCAGTATATTTGTAGAATCGTAATGGCTCTTTTCGTTCCGGAATTCTTGACGAAATGAGTCCTATCTTTCAGTTCTATGTCGTTTTTCCATTCGATAAATTGTTCATAAGATGGAATTTCGAGATTTTCCTTAACCAACGTTAAGTCATGCGAATTCTCTAAATGATTCTCGAATTGATCACTTGGAATGTTTTCACTGCATTGACAATCAGATGATGATTTCACCGCACTATTCGCAGGTTAATTGACAGAGCGTTACTGTCTTTTTCGATTCAGTGGAATTGCGATGAAAAACGTCCAGCTAGAGATGCGATACAGATGAGTTATTGCCAACAAAGTCTTAAGAAAGATATAAGAAGCACTACATGGAATTTATTGAATGGTGCGATAGTGAAAAAGTGAAAACACCGAATAAAGAAGAAGTATTTTTGGCTCATTTCCTATAAATGTCTGAAACCTAGAGGCCAAACACCATGGGCATGCTGACTTCCGTAATAAGCTTACCTATATAATGCTTCAAACGGTATACGCAAAAGATATATCACTAATTATTAGAAGATGGAGAATAAATCACTATTGTTCGTTGTTCCTATTTGCAGGAATAATTGATTGAACAATTCAATCAATTTCCTACTCTTTAGAAAAAATATTGTTCCTAACTCATGCGAAAAGTGTCTTTCCCGCACTCGACTGCTCGCCGGAACTCCTCTTCGCGTCGTTCGGGTCAACGGCATTCGCGTGCGGAAAACTATCACTTTCCGCACTTGTTAGGAAAATTACTATTCCGGCACTAGTGTGAGAAAAAAATTCCCTCACTACTGCGGGAAAATGACATTTCCCAAACTAAATTGCGTGTGGGTATAGGGTGAATCACGCACGCTTGTATAAAAAAATGATGACGGCATGTAGGTGAGATACAATGGGCCACTAGTGGGTATACTCTGGCTACAGTCATGGGATTCCTACACTATCATATGGGGGATTAGACCCATAATAATATTATGTCCATAAAGAATTTCAACCACCTCGACAAAAAAAACTCAATGAAAAACAATTCGCTTCTATTTATTGATAGAAAATATGTACAATAGTTCACATACACTGACTCACCGGACAGGTACAAATAATAATGATTCCAGGAAAAATGTACAGTAACAAATACACTCACTGAATAATTTACACCTTCTCGAACTTACTTTGGTTAATATCAAATTCTACATCGGACTCTAGTTCATTTTCTGACAAGGACAATGAACCTCCTGTTCTCCTTATCAAATTTTTGTCATTCTGGAAAAAAAAGATAGTAGTAGTTCATATTATATAGCAGTAGTAGTCGTCGAAGCAAAAGCAAACTGAAAGAAACAAGGTAGCACACAAGTTTTGATAAACAAGACAGGTTGCTTCATTCTTTCTGTAGGCGTGATATAGCATTGATTCAAAATGATTTGTAACCTTCCGAAACAGTTTTTTTGGTAGGTTTTAGTTCTCGAAATCTGACAGATAATAATTACGTTTGAATAGAATATTCTACTATGTTTCTCACACGGCAGCAAATGTAGATTGACTGACTTGGCTGAATTCCTAGCCTCGCTACGCGAATAACTATTTGTTAGAATGCCGTAAAACGAACCGTTTACGAAAAAAGCGTATTTTTTTCCTTTTGATATCCGAAAAAATTCACAATGATTTTGACCGTGTGTTTTTATGATAAAAGACTAACGCGATAATTGAAATTTTACATTTCCAGTTAGTTTTGTTCTATCTGTCATATTAGATTTAATCGTGATGTTAATTCGTTGAGAATATATTCGCAAAGAAAATGGGCTTGTTTCAGTAAAAAAAATTATTTCATTATTTCCTCAGAGCTCTGTAACTTTTTCAAATAATTACTAAAATTCCAGATATTTCATAACATGAAAAACGCGGGAAAACGGGTGACGTAATTATCTGATAACACCATATAAGATACGACTTACGTATCAATTCTCTATTCCTGATAGACAAGTGTAAGAATATTTCTGATTGTCATTTCGATCAGAATATGGAATGAATTTTCTGGATTGAATGCTTACTGCAGATAACAGAGAACACAACACACAACCAAAGAATCAGATGATATGAGGATTATCTTCGGATATTCGCATCTTGACTAGATGAAACAAGGATTTGATGATGAAGGTGACAGCCGATATCAACGTCCGGAAGTTAGGTTGACAATGTAGTTTGTCTTCTTCTTCTTTTTTTTTGTATTTCTAGGAACTTTGGCATTACACTGTTGCCCGTGCCACAAAATAATCTGGGATTAAATAAACTCATTATTAGGAATACTAGGATATTTTTATCGGTACTGAAGCATCTTGAAAGTATATAAGTATTCAATAAGTGATTATTAGGGACCAGGTCGAACTATTGACTTACTGAAGCATCTTGCAAGTATATAAGTATTCAATAAGTGATTATTAGGGACCAGGTCGAACTATTGACTTCTGTGAATGTGAATACTATTGTCATTGGTCATATTGAATCTCATAAGGTAATTACTAGTTACAAATCTGGCAGCGTTGAAATATGTGGTCCTACTTTTTATGAAAGTGCCAGAATTCGGTCCATGAAGTCATTATACCTGGCATTTTTCGAAGTCACCGAGTTTAATTATTGAAAAAATATATTTGAGGTGATATGGTGAGGTGAGGTCTAAACTTCAAAAACTTATTCACATCAAAATAGAAAATGACATTTTTCTCAAAAACGGTTCGTTTTACGTTATTCTAGCGAGGATACTTTATTTATATAAAAGTGTATGAAGACTGATATACGGAAAGTAGAAATGAGATGAATCATGAAAAAAAAAATGGAGGCATTTGTATAGCATCGGTTACAAGTTTCGCACCTCCCTGTATATTGAATCATGTTTTCCGTACCACGAAACAATTTGTTAGATCGAATCACCCTTAGGTACCAGATTGTGTGATTTTAGGATCAATGATAACAAAGATAATCAAAGAAAAATGCATTCAAGGACCTACCTTCAAAGGGCTCTCTATTGCCTCTGAGAAGGGGCACCTTGTATTGTAACATGCAAAAAATGTGTAAAATAAATAAAATGTGATTATCGTCCAGGAGGAAAACCTTAACATCACGTCATAAGTCATAATGTTAGGCAGGTGTAATATTGCTTCCAATATTAACCAATCAAAGCGGTAGACGATGTTCAACGATGCATTCTTAGTTGGAATGGAATATAGTAATTTATCACTGATAGATCGTTGAGGCAGGCAGACTGACATCAGTACACGCTGAAAAGTTTCATGAGGCCACCTGTCTAGTTTATTCTTCCATCATTTTTCCTTATTGGGTTACCCATACCATTCATAAAAATTTAAGTCGTTTACTGAATTTATCCCAACCAAACAAAAAACAATAGTTTATTTTTTAAATGCATTAATTGATGATGGAAGAGGGTAAGCTGAGTAAACGACCTTGAAATACTTGCAATCAAGCGACTAGGCTAAGCATAATCAGAAACAAAAATAAAAAAGGTTACCAATCTCATTGTTAAGGTTATGGTGTTGGTAACGTGTTGTAACCATGCCAGCTTTGCAGTCGTTTATACTAAGTGAAAAAATTAAGATAATTGATATAAAAAATATTCATACAGAATATGATAGGGTAGTTCATCACTAAATTCAATAAAACATTGTTGGTTTACGGTCGTCATTAACAATGGGCCTGTATTATGTACATTTTCGGAAACAAATCTGCTCTTAGGTTTTCTGATGGATCAATTTTTTAAACGCAGGGACATTTTGGGAAACTTATCTGATTCATTTTAACGGATCAGAAGTCCATCGCCACCCTTGTAACTTCTTGATTCTACATATTACAAATAAGTTAGATGCATGAGTTGTAGGGTTTCATTCTATCCCTTTAATGATTCAAGTTTAATTTCAACAGCACAGATACTGGTCCATCGGATATTAAATATTGACGCTCTGCCACTAACTTAGATGATTTTCGCAAAGGGGACAGCCGATTTTATATGATTTTTGTTTCAACTCGTTATGACATGGACAGAAGTATGTCCGGAATAATGGCTGAACCGAAGGGTTACGAACTTATTTTATGAAAATTCATCGGAAGGAAACTTCCCCATTGTTGATTCCCCGCCGAAGTTCCACATACCGATGGAATCTGGCGTCTAGGTAGTTCGGAGAGTGTTCACACGAAAACGATTCTTAACAACACTCATTTATTCTCGCAATTATCAAAAATACAGTAATCAAAATAAACAACACCTATCGTAAACAACCTTGCATGGAATACGTTACCCTTGGATGACCTATAAAAACCGACCCGCGAGTTAGCTCCCGCGCATACACGGCTATTGTTTCAAGCCTTCAAGGCTAGGCTGAGACTAATCTAGTGAGTTTTTCGTGATTTAGCGACATTTTCGATCTTATTTCATCATTTTCAGTTAGTTTATTACATCAGATGAAAAATAGTAAAAAACTTAATTTCTTCAGAATCTGTTCAGAATAAAAAAACACATTATAAAAAACGAAATGAATCTAAATTTTCCCATAAAATTTCATTCAATATTATTATAGTCATCAGTTACATTGGTAAATCACAACACATTTTTCTCGGTCGTATATTAGGAGTACTTCTTTGATCAAATAACATGTCAAAACATGTAAACTCATATTTCCATAGTTCAACACCATACAGATCTGCGACTTTATTGCTATTAGTCAGATTTATTTTTATGAGTTTTAATACTTACCGATTTGGTCAAAATGAAATCTTCACAAGCATCGCAAATTTTTTAAACTACATATATGAAGGGTGTCAGGTGAAAACAGGGAATGTCCTTGCGACAAATGTTAGAGATAATGTGATTTTAAAGATTGAAACATCACAGCTGAATTGTTTTTTTATGTAATGAAAGCCATTCAATTTCAAGAACACCTTATATTCATTGAACAACCAAAATAATATTCAACTTGAACATAGGAGTGGAACTTCTGTCAAAAATAGCAGTAATATTGAGGTATCGTCTGCTTATTTCAGTTGAAAACAGGGAATGTCCGGTGGTATATACCTATAACAAGGAACATATCTCAAGAAAAAGAGTTCTCACCTTAGTATTTTGAGGAATTTTCCGATCGATGTACTTGGTGATAGTTTTCTTAGATGTAGCTTCACGTCTCGGATTTGTACCCTTCATTCTCAAACCAATTTCATCCTGTTTGTTGGAGGAACCTGCACGATTAACTTCTAGCCTTGCACGTTGGGGAGTTGACGCTTGACATCATTGTCAGATATCTTTGGGAGAGATATGTTTTTTTGATAGTCAATCGCTATATGGGTTCAAATGCTTCATTTTGTTGAGCTATCTTGCGAGCAGCTCCTATTCAATCGTAAAAAGTTTGCGCCTTTCGGAAGTGGAGCTATCTTTCAATATTCAGCTTACTCATTACCATATTATCGCTCGCAGGGCCATTCTCAGCAGCATTCATTTTCACCGAGAACTGGTCGCACTGAGTGCAAGTATCGGATCTAGGATATCCAAATCCTACATTAAATTCTTTCCTAAATACCATCCTATAGAATTGATAACATACTTTTTGATTAAGGTGGAGATATTTGAACATTCTGTACATCTTTCTAATGTTAAGTTCTTCCGGCAAATATGACCTGTTTCTGTTGTCCTTTAAGCTGTAATGACTTTGCCTTGTTTTGAACGGAGCAATGTGCAATTTAATACATTCTAAAGTATCGCTGCGCATTTTTTTATTTTTTCCTCCGCGCTTATCTTTTGGAGCAACACCAAACTTTTTCAAGGACCTCTGTAGGTTCTCAACTTTGCTTTTAAAAATTCCATCAACTTCCTTCTAAAACTTCGCGCACACTTCTACTTCTTCCAGAATGTTTTTTGTTTCAATTCTGATCCGACATTTGTAGCCTTTGGCCTCCGCCTTTGTATGGTAACTATCGATATCAGGGAGCACAGATAGGAATTTTTGGATATTGTGTGAATCCAGTGAATTGAAATAATTGAGAATAGTTTGTATGTCACTCGGATTCACTTTCTCCATACACTTGAATCTTCTGCACTCGCAAAACGTTACGAATTCATGTGCGAAATAAGTACTTCTGATTGGACATTCCCCGTTTATTACGTTTTTGGTTGGACATTCCCTGTTTTCCCCGTATATGGCATTTAAAAACAATGTTGGAGAACATAACGCTCCACGTTTTCTCGTGGTTTGGGTTAAGCATAGGTTGATACATTGAATTTGCTAATAGATGGCATCACTAACTCGATTTGTACAAAAAAAGGACATTCCCTGTTTTCTCCTGACACCCTTCATATATCGAATATACAGAATATTATTCAAAAGTGGAAGAAATGGCACAAATGATAAAGACAAACCCTGTCATCTGCCATTCTCTTCTCTGATTATCTCTTCGTCTGGAATGTTTCAATGTGAATTCATATCCATCGTCATCAATTCATGTGATCAAAATATCTCCATATAAACCGCTATGACTATGCTGAAAACACTAGGATTCCGACACATCGCAAATCAAATTGAAATGCCACATTCACCTACCCTAAAAACTCTTGATTTAGCGACAAAACCGCTAAGATGGCAACCCTGTCTAGTGAATTCCAGAAAGATGATGCAACATTTGCAGCTGCATCAGAGGGTGCTAGCTCTCGGATTAGCATAGTGTCCAGAAAAACACAGTGGCGTACGAGCCATTCATAATCATAGAGGAACATTTCAGATTGGAACAAAATATTGAAATAAATGTAAAAGCAGGAAGTTACAACAGGTATGGAATAAAATGATATTTCATTATTTATACGTCCAAAATACAAATGAGAAATTGTAGTTACAAAAGGTTTTGAAGAACATGAAGCAATGAAACTGTGGCAGAAGATGAAGTCGAGAGTTATTATCTGAATGGATACTCACCTCTGACAATCTAACTGTTGGTTCCGAAGCGTATCCACCCCGAGCATCTTCATCTTCCTCATCCGAAGAACTGGAGGTAGATTCTTCTTCTTCGTACGGCCTATAAAACACCGAGTCAAATACACCTATTGTCAATACGCTCAATTTCTAAAGATCTAATAATATACAGAGTTATACAAAATTCGATGTGAATATTTTAACCCGACGTCGACCAGGTGGGGTCTCAGATGACCAGACAAATTTTAAATCACTGCCATTTCAATTTGAATGCACGCACGTTTCATTAGTTGCCTATAGCTTTCCAAAACAGTTCATTCTGTGATATTCTGGTGAGAATTCAGTCTTTAGCAAGGAAGTAACAGTGCAGTAAACAGCTTCGATGTGAATTCCCATAAGAAAATGAATCATTTTTTGTTTTTTTCATATACTAGATGCGACTTTTTCAGCTGATGACATGAACATCGCTTAATAATTTGTTTTGCATAAAATCTTACAGAATTGAGTTTTCTATATTTTTTAAACAGCTCTCAAAGATATCATGTTTTTTTCCCGTGAGAATTTCGCCATTTATATTTCTTTGATGATATCTCATGAATTGAACTCATTATGAAAAGTCATTTAACATACAAATCTGGAAAAAAAACTAGTGTTTTTTTTCGTGACTAATTATGGGGTACAGTCGTATTCAATAAAAAAGCGTACGAGTGTTAAAAAGAGAGGTTTACGGCATCATAGTTCTAGTTATGTAAAATTGGCTCAGCCAATGCTTTGTGTTTTTGAGAACCTTCGACAAATTTACTGTCAACATTTGGTAAACAATCATTTCCGATAGTCCGTTTCACGCAAATAGAATGACGTTAATTTCATTCTGTAATATACTTGTACGCTTTTTTTCTGAATACAACTGTACAGTGTGTCCAGTTTTCGATGCTTTTGCGTGATATCTCAGTTATCTTTCGAGATAGAACCTTCCGGTTTTCGCGGTCCTGTGCCACTTTTCTGTGAAACTCAAGATGGCCTAATCAGATTTTGCGTTTATGAGATACAGGGCGATTTTGAAAATGTATACTTTTTGGACCCCCTCTATATCTACGAAATTTCCCAGCGAAAAGGTCAAATTGGAATCTTATCCCATAGAGAATTTTGCGCAGAATTCAGTGGCGCACTCAAATTTTTTTTCTGGGTATGGTTTTGGAGATACGACTCAAACTTATGATTTTTCAAATGGAACACCCTGTATTTTATAAGCTCATTAAATTCCTTATTTTTTTCCTATCAAAATTAAATATGATGAATAGGTATAAAATTTTCAAAAATGCTCTAATATCACTAAAACATTGAATTTAAATAGTGGGCTATGGATTTTTCATTTAAAAAAAGTTCCAATTGAAGGAATATTTCATTTGATTTTTCCATGAAAAAGACAAAAACAATCCCAACACTAGTTGATTGAGATAACACAAAAGTTGGGTACCTGATAGCAACAAATGAATGGTAATAAAAAGTTCATGTTCTAGAATAAGCACCTGATTTAATATTCACTGAGACAATTGAATTTCGAAATTAATCAGTGATTTATTCATTGAATTGTTCAAATTGATGTCCATTTTCCCTCACACGCTTTCTCAATACGTCTTAATGCATTCAAAATCATTAAAGGATGTCTTTGTAATTCCTGGAAAACTGCCTCTGTTGTTGCACAAAGTTCTTCAAGATTATTGTGACTCTTACTGTATCAAGACGTATTGAGAAACTGTGTCAATTGTGTGTTATGGAAAATGGACATCAATTTGAACAATTTAATGAATAAGTTATTGAATAATTCCGAAATTCAATTGTATTTGTAAATATTTAATCTGGTGCTCATTCTACAATATGAACTTTTTATTACTATTTATTTGTTCCTATCAGTTACATAATTTTTGTGTTTTCTCAGTTAATTAGTGTTGGTATCGTTTTCGTCCTCTTCATGGAAAAATCAAAATGAATATTTCTTCAATTGGAACTTTTTTATAAGAAAAATCTATAGCCCACTATTAAAATTCAATGTTTCATTGATTTTAGAGCATTTTTGAAAATTATATATGCATACATTATAAATCATTTTGAAGAGAAAAAAATTAGGAATTTTATGAGCTTATAAAATACAGGGTGTTCCATTTAAAAAATCATAAGTTTGAGTCGTATCTCCAAAACCATACCCCGAAAAAGTTTTTTGAGTACGCCACTGGATTCTGCGTGAACTTCTATATGGGCTGAGATTTTAATTTGAAATTTTTGCTGAGAAACTTCGTAGATATAGAGGGGGTCCAAAAAGTATAAATTTTCAAAATCGCCCTGTATCTCATAAACGCAAACAGTTATGCAAAATCTGATTAGGCCATCTGGAGTTTCTCAAAAAAGTGGCACAGGACCGCGAAACCCGCAAGGTTCAATCTCGAAAGATAACTGAGATATCACACAAAAGCATCTAAAACTGGACACACTGTACATCAGACCCCTGCTGGGTGATAATGTACAGATTTTCCACCTGAGTGACGGCGGGTTAAGGACGTATTGTTGGGATCAAAATAAGACTTTTTCTTCACATAAACATGTGTTCTAAAATGCACACTCTCCGAGCTAAAGCCACTGTGAGTTGGATAAAAAGAAGATTATCTGTGATCATAGTAAACGGATCAAGTACTTCACACCTCTCAAATACTCGTTAAAGATTCCTACCTCTGGTTGGAACACCAGAGGAATCGGCAAAATTTACGGTTGGTGTAGTGTGCTCACCGGCGTCGGTGATTATCCTCAGCAGCAGAACAGGCCGACCTTGAAGAAAGTAGGAATAAGAAGAAGAATGAATATAGCAACCAGTCTAAACCCAGAGTTTGTAATAATTAAAGCCTACATTATCTTGGCTTCTGTCTGAACAATAACATTAAATCCTAGTTTACTGTAGGCACCGAGGTGCCTTTCTTCACTGTCGATTCCCAGGCCTCCTCACAATCTCAGTTTGTAGGAGCAGGTGAAGTGAATCACCTTCATAAAAAATCTGGCGCCAGAGATAGCCGAAACAAGTACCAGTAGTATTTGTTCGAAAAACGCCAAAGTAAGCGCAAGCCAATTAAAACAGTTCTCTTTGATACCCTTACAACAGATCGAGATTATCCATATTGTTAAATATTACATATATATTATAGGGCCTGTTTTCCTGAGACTGTTCAGTGGCGTTCCTTCATTGGTTATTAGATCCTTGTAAATTTCACTCACTTACCTGGACAGCTTGAACAACAAGTATAACTGCCCAACGAATTCATGTTGGACGAGCTCTTGTGCAGCTCGAACATCGTCCTGGATACGGGCAAATGGCCCGCCCGCAGCTGCCTCTCAAAGTACGTAGATCTTTGTAAATTTCACCCACTCACCTGGACACCTTGCACACCATCTGCGCCAGATCTGTGAAAGTATAACTGCCCAAGGAGTTGACGTTGGACGAGCTCTTGTGCAGCTCGGACAGCGTCCTGAAGATGGGCAGGTTGCCCGCCCGCAGCTGCCCTTCAAAGTACGCCTTGCCGTGCTCGTAGCCGATCTCCCTGATGGCGTCGAAGCTGCCGAACTGCAGGGTGCGGTATTTGTCGATGGGCGGGCGGATGTACTCGCAGTAGTCGCTGTTTTTCACTTCCTGTAGAAAGTGGGTTTGTTCATTTGAAGGGCATCATGACGGGTTCACGGGTTAGGTAAAAGCCATTCGATATTGATATTGCCAATGGAAGCAATAAATACGAATAACTTTCCTTCGAATTGGAAACACGCCAAGATTATTCCTTTAGCCAAATGCAATTCTCCCACTGAGCTTTCCGACTTGAGACCTATAAGTATCCTGCCTTCTCTTTCAAAAGCCCTTGAGATGATCATGAAAGATCAAATGGCAGATTACATATACACTCATGAGATAATCACTCCTGTTCAATCCGGTTTTTGCACTGAACATAGCACTACTACCGCTCTTCTATCTATCACGGATGATCTTTTCAAGGCCGCAGATAACGGCGAAGTTTCGTGTATGGTTTTACTAGATAACAGTAAGGCTTTCGATACACTTGATCATTCTCTACTTTGCCTCAAACTCAGCTACTTTGGCTTCTCTAATGGAGCTGTAGAATTCCTACGCAATTATTTATCCAATCGTTCCCAGCGCGTTGTCTTGGAAAGTATCGAGTCTGATTGCCGACTTTTTCGAAATTATAAAATATGCTAAAATTCATCACTACGCCGATGACACCCAACTCTATATCTCATTCAATTCTAAATATCTCATCGAAACACAAAATAAAATAAATGATGATTTAAAAAAATTGTACGACTTCTCCACAGCCCACAGTTTACGCTTGAATCCAAAAAAGTCTCAAATAATATTATTCGGATCAAAGAAGAAAGTGGAATGTGTCCGTGAAGATTTGAAAATGAAAATTGGGTCTGATATTTTACCTATAGTTAAAGAATGCAAAAATCTAGGTTTATGGCTTGACCCAGAGCTTAAATTCACCAAACATGTGAGTCATCTTTGCCAGGCATCCTTCAACATTCTTAGACAACTATTTCCTAACAGACACATGCTTTCCAAGCAATTGAAGCTCTCTTTATGCGAAGAGTTGATAACGTCTAAACTGTCTTATTGTGATACCGTCTACGGTCCAGCACTCTTGAAGTCTGACCAGTATCGTCTTCAAAGAATACAAAGCTCATGCATCAGACTTTCATTCGGTATTCGGAAATTTGAACACATTAGTACAGAATTCAGTAACTCTGGTTGGCTGAGGTTTGAAAGATCTACAAAATCTACATCTACTGTCAATCACTCATAAAGTGTTAGTAAATAAATCTCCTAAATTGAGAACGTTTTCAGTACTGAACGACCTCTGCACACGCAATAGACACGTTCTTGTCATTCCTCCTCACTCTTCTGCAATATACACTAGATGTTTTTCATACAATGCTGCTAAGTTTTACAACCAGTTGCCCAATGAATTCAGACTATACAGGGTGTTTCATAATTGGATGTCAATATTTGGGGTGGCGTATCTTGGGCCCATTCTAAGAAGAAAGTTTTATATGAACGTACGACTTAAACGTCCTAACTTTTGAGATACAGGGTGGTAAAGTTCTCAAAAATTAATAGTTTTTTATTAATATCTGTAAAACATACTTCAGATATTCTAATGAATTTTGGCATACATGTACTATGTATCAAGAGGCATCAGTTAGTGTGCCACATGTTTTTTGGTTGCCACCAGTGGCGTTCGTATGGAGTTTTACATACCTATTTTGGCAGACATTGATGGTACTCCACTGATTAATCTCGAAATTGAAATCATTCCTGAAATTCCCAATCATTTCTAAGCAAATTTGATCACCACAATTTTTTCAATCTGATGCACGGCTTTCGCTTGAAAAAATAAAAAGCTTTTCACTACATGCTTATAGCAATATCGTTAATATGACAATATCACAATGCAGAGAAATAGATTTTATTTTTTAGATCAAATTTCAGTAATACAATTCATAGTTTATGAACTTTCTATTCGTATTTGGTGTTTTGGAATTATAACTTTCCATTGTAATAGGCTTTATTAATTTTTGAGAACTTTACCACCCTGTATCTAAAAAGTTAGGACGTTTAGGTCATGCTTTCATATGAAAATTTCTTCTTAGAATGGGCTCAAGAATCGCCTACTCCAATATTGACATCCAATTATGAAACACCCTGTATAGGTACACTCAGTAACTTCAAGAAAAGATTAAAACTTCTGATGAAAAATAGTCAGTTTGTGTTAATTCGTTGATGAATCTCGCTCCGGAACTCAGCTTTGACATGTTCGAATATAAATATACCACAAAAGTCTCAAAATTTATTTTTATTTTTGTTTTTTTTTTCATTTCTAATTTTAGTAAGTATAGGTACTCTGCAATAATATTATAAATCTCATGTATTTCTTTTTTTATTTTTTGTTCTTTGTTTTTGTGAGGTCAAGTTGAAAAACAGCTATAGCTGACACTTCGCCTTTTCATCAATCAGTTATTTTTCATATTTGATTCAATGCTTTGTATTTTATGTATAAATATTGATTTGATGAATAAAGCCACTTTATTATTATTATTATTATTATTATAAGTATTCCCACGAATTTATAACCTCCAAAAATTTGTTCACTTCCTGTAGAAAGTGGGTTGGTTCATTTGAAGGGCATCATCACGGGTTCACAGGTTAGGTAAAAATCATTCGATATTGATATTGCCAATGGAAGTAGTCTTAATAACTTTCAACCTCCAAAAGTTTTTCACTTCCTGTATAGAAAGTGGGTTGGTTCATTTGAAGGGAATCATCACGGGTTTTTAGGTAAGAGCCATTCGATAATGATATTGTCAATGGAAGTAGTCCCAAGAACTTATAACCTCCAAAAGTTTTTCACTTCCTGTAGAAAGCGGGTTGGTTCATTTGAAGGGCATCATCACGGGTTCACAGGTTAGGTGAAAGTCATTCTATATTGATATTGCCAATGGAAGTAGTCTTAATAATTTTCAACCTCCAAAATTTTTTCACTTCCTGTAGAAAGTGGGTTGGTTCATTTGAAGGGAATCATCACGGGTTATTAGGTAAAAGCCATTCGATAATGATATTGCCAATGGAAGTAGTCCCAAGACCTTATAACCTCCAAAAGTTTTTCACTTCCTATAGAAAGCGGGTTGGTTCATTTGAAGGGCATCACAACGGGTTCACAGGTTAGGTGAAAATCATTCGATATTGATATTGCCAATGGAAGTAGTCTTAATAACTTTCAACCTCCAAAAGTTTTTCACTTCCTGTAGAAAGTGGGTTGGTTCATTTGAAGGGAATCATCACGGGTTTTAGGTAAGAGCCATTCGATAATGATATTGTCAATGGAAGTAGTCCCAAGAACTTATAACCTACAAAAATTTTTCAATTCCTGTAGAAAGCGGGTTGGTTCATTTGAAGGGCATCATCACGGGTTCACAGGTTAGGTAAAAATCATTCGATATTGATATTGCCAATAGAAGTAGTCTTAATAACTTTCAACCTCCAAAAGTATTTCACTTCCTGTAGAAAGTGGGTTGGTTCATTTGAAGGGAATCATCACGAGTTTTTAGGTAAGAGCCATTCGATAATGATATTGTCAATAAGTAGTCCCAAGAACTTATAACCTCCAAAAGTTTTTCACTTCCTGTAGAAAGCGGGTTGGTTCATTTGAAGGGCATCATCACGGGTTCACAGGTTAGGTAAAAGTCATTCGATATTGATATTGCCAATGGAAGTAGTCTTAATAACTTTCAACCTCCAAAAGTTTTTCGCTTCCTGTAGAAAGTCGGTTGGTTCATTTGAAGGGAATCATCACGGGTTTTTAGGTAAGAGCCATAAGATAATGATATTGTCAATGGAAGTAGTTCCAAGAACTTATAACCTCCAAAAGTTTTTCGCTTCCTGTAGAAAGTCGGTTGGTTCATTTGAAGGGAATCATCACGGGTTTTTAGGTAAGAGCCATTCGATAATGATATTATCAATGGAAGTAGTTCCAAGAACTTATAACCTCCAAAAGTTTTTCACTTCCTGTAGAAAGTGGGTTGGTTCATTTGAAGGGCATCATCACGGGTTCACAGGTTAGGCAAAAGTCATTCGATATTGATATTGCCAATGGTAGTAGTCTTAATAACTTTCAACCTCCAAAAGTGTTTCACTTCCTGTAGAAAGTGGGTTGGTTCATTTGAAGGACATCATCACGGGTTCACAGGTTAGGTAAAAGTCATTCGTTATTGATATTACCAATAGAAGTAGTGGGTTGGTTTATTTGAAGGGACTCATCACGGGTTTTTAGGTAAAAGCCATTCGATATTGATATTGCCAATGGAAGTAGTCCCAAGAACTTATAACCTCCAACAGTTTTTCACTTCCTGTAGAAAGTGGGTTGGTTCATTTGAAGGGCATCATCACGGGTTCACAGGTTAGGTAAAAGTCATTCGATATTGATATTGCCAATGGAAGTAGTCTTAATAACTTTCAACCTCCAAAATTTTTTCACTTCCTGTAGAAAGCGGGTTGGTTCATTTGAAGGGCATCATCACGGGTTCACAGGTTAGGTAAAAGTCATTCGATATTGATATTGCCAATGGAAGTAGTCTTAATAACTTTCAACCTCCAAAAGTTTTTCACTTCCTGTAGAAAGTGGGTTGGTTCATTTGAAGGGAATCATCACGGGTTTTAGGTAAGAGCCATTCGATAATGATATTGTCAATGGAAGTAGTCCCAAGAACTTATAACCTCCAAAAGTTCTTCACTTCCTGTAGAAAGCGGGTTGGTTCATTTGAAGGGCATCATCACGGGTTCACAGGTTAGGTAAAAGTCATTCGATATTGATATTGCCAATGGAAGTAGTCTCAATAACTTTCAACCTCCAAAAGTTTTTCACTTCCTGTAGAAAACGGGTTGGTTCATTTGAAGGGCATCATCACGGGTTCACAGGTTAGGTAAAAATCATTCGATATTGATATTGCCAATGGAAGTAGTCTTAATAACTTTCAACCTCCAAAAGTTTTTCACTTCCTGTAGAAAGTGGGTTGGTTCATTTGAAGGGCATCATCACGGGTTCACAGGTTAGGTAAAAGTCATTCGATATTGATATTGCCAATGGAAGTAGTCTTAATAACTTTCAACCTCCAAAAGTTTTTCATTTCTTGTAGAAAGTGGGTTGGTTCATTTGAAGGGAATCATCACGGGTTTTTAGGTAAGAGCCATTCGATAATGATATTGTCAATGGAAGTAGTTCCAAGAACTTATAACCTCCAAAAGTTTTTCACTTCCTGTAGAAAGTGGGTTGGTTCATTCGAAGGGCATCATCACGGGTTCACAGGTTAGGAAAAAGTCATTCGATATTGATATTACCAATGGAAGTAGTCCCAAGAACTTAAAACCACCAAAAGTTTTAAAAAAACCAACACCTACCTCCTCTTCCCAGTCCCTATCTTCCCTAGGTAAGCACGATGTTCCACGTACATTATAGGAATTTCCTTTCGTGCGCTCCAAGAGATTGAAAAACATAGATTAAAAAAAAATCGCGACAAAATACCATGTGAACTTTTCAAATGGGAGGAGTCAACTATTCAAATGTCAAATTGGTTACGACGTGGGGTCATTCTTCTATTGTTTCGTTAGGATAACTCTCGATATAAAGAAAAGAAAGTGAGATCAAAGCGTGGGGTTCTCATAATCGATGATAGATGGCGTGAACGATAGACATTTCTTCAAAAACTTCTAAATGCGTTTCGAATCTTATGAAGTGAACTATAGACTTTCATTCATTAATACTAAGATTTTCTGCGAGCGAATGCGCAGTCGTCCAAAATGTTTCACGTGATTTATTATTGTGACTAATAAGGACTCGGATATAGAATTCTTCGAAGATTCTTCAACTTTTGGATGATATCTCGACTCGACATCTGTCACAAGTGTCACGTTTTTGGCGTATTTATAATTCTGGTCAAATTTCAAAAAGAAATATAACAGCAGTCGTTTATTGAGCAGGTATACTCATTGGCAAAGTAAAGACAAATGGATGGTCATGATGGCTGTATATTTGGTTTGAAACCCACGCTCCACCATTTTTCAAAAAGTAGACGATATCGAGAGATTTCTAAACTCCTCCCAATAGGAAGTGATTACATCATTTGAATTTCTATACATTCATGTTATGACGTTACCACAGGTTATTTATGATCAACTGATGTGAAGATTCGTACAAGCCGTATACACAAACCTGCTCAATCAAATGGAGAAATTTGTATTTCGTGTGAATATTTTCGAGAATATTTCATTTTATTCAGCTATTAATCCATCAACATGGGTATAAGATTATGTCAATGTCGATTGCGTCATAAGAAACAAACACACTATTCGCGATGGAAAATAACACATCGCCCCACCTGACGGCAACAACTTGAACACTTCTGAGCGGTTTGTTTTGATTTGTGGACCAATAAGCTTAAACAAAAAACAAATGTGAACCAATGAAAATAATGTAAACAGGCCGCTTTGACAGCTTTCAAGAACTCCGATAGGTGGCGTACGCTTATTTTTTTATCGCGAATTGGCAAGGTGACGATTCCGATTCGACATCTGGTGGGCATATTTGAGTTTGAGACGTAAATCAAGCTCATATTTGTTATTGTGTTCATAAATTCATACTATTCGCCTTTTGACCATGGAAGGAGACACATGGCGTCTCCAGGTCAAAAGTCAGGTTAATGTGTGTGCAAGTCTATAATTTTTCTAATTACCTGATCTGGATAAAAATCCAATATTTATTGTGAAGTTTAAGTGTGTGTGAAAATTATCAAGCCCTTTTATCTCTACGCCGGTATAGGCCATACTTGAAATCAAACGTGCTCAGCATGAGCACATACGATAGAACCTTTGATATTGATGAACTCGGCTTCCGGGCATGGTGACGGACTACGGTATCTTTAGTGCTCGAGCCGAGAGATAATATTATTACATAACCATATATATTCTTGAACGAGCCGAGAGATAATATTATTACATAACCATATATATTCTTGAAAAAATTAATTACCTGATCTGGAGAAATTGTTACCGAAAGGAGACAGAAATCCAATAAACCCAGAAGAAGAAGAAGAAGAAGATAAATTCATACTTCATGTAAATCTATTCTACAAATTAAGTTAATTTCCTCCTCTTCTCTTGACTACAGGACATGAAGTTTATGTTGATTGTTGTTGCGAGTCAATTCTATATTATTTTATGAATTATGAATCAAAAAATCTCTCAGAAACCGAGAAATCAACTATCAACTGTGTTTTGTTGATAGCTGAAGGTCTCAAAAGGAATATGTAGGACCTAAAATGTCTTCAATACATTTCCTGCATTCAAGATTAAACACTTAAAACAGTTCAGTTGGATGAAAAGAATGTGGAAACGTGAAACATCGAATATGGATTTGAAAACTGGACTGGATGTATATGTACATACCTACTATACAAAAACTACTTATCTTGTTCACTTTTTTCATTTCATTGCTCCAGTAATGAAAACAAGATGAAGTTGTGATTCATAAGTATATTTATTACTGATAATTAACTATTTGTAGTGCATATCTGAAAGAATGTGATTGAAATGATCAACAGTTCATATTTTGCATGGTAAGTTCCTGGTGAAGTCTTCAGGAAGAAGGACTAGGGAAAATAAGTGTGTCCATTCCTCCTCCGGGTATTCTGATGATCAAAATGAAGAAGCAAATTCAATGCCTTCAACTTTCATATAGCATTACACATAGTTGGGCAGGAAAGAAGATGACATTGAAAAGGAATATTCTCAGATAAATTATGAACATACATAAATGGATATATATGTATATAAAGCAATACATTGAGAATTCGCATTCTCTATGTGATGAGAATATTTACTCTTTCTCAGTTGATTCAATAGAAAACAACTACTTTCCTGGCTATATGCCACGACGAACATTGAATTATATCTATTAAACACACACGATAAGAGTTTGAAAATAAAATATAAAAACTTCTGAAATTGAGAATTTGCATTCTCCTTCAGATAAAAATATGTATATGCACACATCATTCTGAATATTCAACAGAAAACAACTACTTTCCTGGCTATTTGCCACGTCGAATGCAAATTCTCAATTTCAGAAGTTTTTATATTTTATTTTCAAACTCTTATCGTGTGTGTTCAATAGATATAATTCAATGTTCGTCGTGGCATATAGCCAGGAAAGTAGTTGTTTTCTATTGAATCAACTGAGAAAGAGTAAATATTCTCATCACATAGAGAATGCGAATTCTCAATGTATCGCTTTATATAAATATATATCCATTTTTGTATGTTCATAATTTATCTGAGAATATTCCTTTTCAACACTTACCTCCAATTGTCTGACACAACTGACGTACGCCAACCGGGACTGGATGTCCGGCAAATTTGGCACTTTGACGGTCTCCGTGAACGGGTACCACCGCTTCCACAACAGCCACCAGCCGGACAGGTCGTCCCCGTAGTTGGTCAGATTCTGGTCGTCCACCGATCCGACGTCGACGGCCAAAATGTGGTTGGCGCCCAAACTACGCATCACGTCCGCTAAAGGGATACAGAGAGTGTGTGTGTGAGAGAGATAGAGATAACGTAGAGTGGAGTGACTTCAGAATAGAGTGGCGACAATAATAGTTGTACACTTTTTGATTGTCAGACCTTTGATATGGAGGTGCATCCACCTGTCTTGATTTCTCACTTATAATTACACGAGAGTTTTTTTTGTCGAAGTAAACTTGACATGTATCATTAACAGTTATGCTGCCTGGCAATTTGACTAAAAAAAAACTGCCTCTGAAAAAAATTACGAGTCCGTAGGCCGAGTAATTTTTTCTGGCAGTTTTTTTGATTTGACTGTGATTTCACTTTGTCAATGCTTTGTCTCTGGATCTTTGGACAGAAAACATCCAACAATCAGACATAAAAGTCTTGACACCAGTACCTTGGATATTAACTATTAGAACCCGTCTTTTGGGACTCGTAAGTCTCAGATTATTTAGATGATGAAATAAAAATATCTAAACCTAACAACAGGTGAGCCCTTCGAAGGCGCAAATTCATTAATGCATATGGGACATACCCTTCAGTTTTCTAGCTATCCAGTGACTTGACGTTCCGGAAATGGCAGCCATTTGAATGGCTATTGTCGTCACTCTATTTATCAGGTCACTCTAACATAGAGGGTGAGTCAAGAATGTGTACCGAGCTTTCTGGAGGTGATAGTACAGGCTGCCCCGTTTTCGATGTCCTTACAGGATATCTCACTTATTTTCAAAAATAGAGATTTGCGGTATCCGCGAACGTTGGCTACTATTTTGTGAAACTCATCTTATCGAAAAAGTGAAAATTGTCGCTCATACATTTTTTCATGTAGAATCCAGTGGCGCAGTCAGATTTTCAGAATAAGCTGTTATTTCTCAGATACAACCCAAAGTTATGTGTTAGTTTTAATGTTAACAAACATTCAACATTTACCAATATTCAGCACTATTTATTGACTATGGAAGCTGTGGACCTAATTAGCAGGTGGCTATGAAGAAAACGTGAGCAGACTGTTTTATAATCTTCGTCACCTAGGTACCTGGCGAATTTACAAAATTTTCATACAACGGCAAATGATAATCCAGGATATGGAAACTAGGAAAAGTCATGCGACAAAATTCAATTTCAATTTCATCAACTTTGAAAGAATTTATTCCCCTTGATATGCATTCTGAGCCATACGATTATCTATCAAAGTATATTTATTTTGTATCGAACTATCACCTCCAGAAAGCTCTGTACACATTTTTGACTCACTCTGTATTATATATCGAGAGGATGTAATTCAATAGCCATTTTTATATCGAGAGGATGTAATTCAATAGCCATTTTTCCTAGAAGTTAACCACACAAACCGGATAAACAATTAGGTATAACCAGCCAATTTTCCTCGAAGTGTATTCCAAACGAGTAGTCGAGGCATCAGATTCGGCGCTAGATTAAGCTATTGTTGTTATAATCTGGTGTTATAAAATTGATAAAATATAAAATATTAACACTTTTTGATGAGATAATCATGGATTCATACGAATTATTTTATATCATTGAAGAACAAGGAATACTTCAAGAAATTTTCTTGGATTTGAAATATCTAGTACCGTCAAATGGGATGTCTTCGGACAGAACATGACTTCGGACAATCGGTAATACTTTCCTCTTTCAATCGAGAATACCGCAGAAGTGGAAATCAATATCGACTTAACTCTTTGCCGTGTTCATTCTTGTTAGAATAAGTTCGGCGATCATGACTGATTTTATTGTGAAAAAGTAAGTTCGTCCATTTTACGTCTTTATTTATATGATCGTAGTTTTATGTATTTGGAATTGAAAAAGTTACTGTTGTAGGGATTTTCGAGCTGAATTTAGAGCATATTAGCAATTATATTTTAAGAGATTTATGTAGAAAAAAAGTTTTGACCATGTATTTGGTCTCCAATGTCATATTAATTCTTTTAAACAGGGTGATAACCAAAATATCAACCTGGTGATTTCGGACATGGACCATAGCTGCAGAAAACTTCTTGGTGGTCGTTCCTACAAAAACTAAACCAATGAAAAATTTGAAGCGGCCACAAATGATGTTACGAATGGGAGGAAATGTGTCATTACACCCAGTGAGCTTCTTGACAGAAAAACTAATTCAAAGAGCAATATAGTAGTTATTTCATTGAAGTTACCTGTAATTATATTATTTGTGTTTGAAGTTATGAAATGAGTTCCTGATATATTCAACATTGTTGACATATTTGTTTTTCAGTCACTGTTATTTTTTTATGTCAACTAAGTTGTTCGAATTACAATAATTAAACATTCGTTTTCTCTAATTATGCTGTGTCCGAATTATTTTTGATGAGACAAAAAAAGTCAGACACGCTTCTACCAAGAATGTGGTGAATTTCATGTTTTAAACTTTTTCAGAAAATGGTGGTGACCTAACACACTTTTTAAATGAGAAACATAATTATTTTCAAAACAAAAACGAAAGTTTCATCTCAGAATTCAACAAAGATGTAATGATTTGAAGAGGAAAAAACAATTGTTCGAAAAGTTATAGCAAAAAATGTACGAATAAATCACCTCATTTGACGGTACCTATCTGTAGTATCTTTTTGTTATGGATGATGTATTTTTCATTCAATATTTCACTACTTGAACCATCAAACAGGGAAATAATCAATAAATAACCACTGTCATCTGTTGTAACAGGGTGGATTTACGGTTCTCGCAAATGAAGGAGGAAATGATGGACTCTACTTTTACCACACTTGTAATGGCGGCTTTATTTGATTGTTAGAGCGAACTCAGAGCTAAAACAAATTACTAATTCAATATTTGAAAATTCCTAGTACATACTTCGACCCAAAATTACATTCCTAGGAATCAACAGTCACTTACCTAACACCAGGCAAAACGGTAATTGCATTGAACATCAATGAATGCCTTTTCGAACCACTAGGCTGCTAGCTTGAGATTTACTAAACCAATAAACTAATATGGCACAGTTATTCCGAAAAAGTGGTGAACCGCAAAAAACGGAGTTGCTGCCGATAAACAATACGATCGAATTTATTTCATGCAGAATGACATCCGAGCGACCTCTGATGGACTATCAATCAACACGATGTACGAACTGAAATATATCGCTACAGTGATAGCAGATCACTACACTGTCAATCTTCACAAGTAAACCGTGACGTCATAATAAAGTTAACCTGGTGTGCCTGATTAATTTCGAGGAAAAATGACGCCGACGCACGCAAAACATTGAATAACATCCTCCCGAAATCAATGGAAAGATTTGTATAAACGAATACTGATTGCAAGTGTTTCTTTTCTAGTAAAAACGTTCTCACTCTCAAAATGTTGAAAATGCTACCGCAATCAATCGCTGAATATCCCTGGATTCTCAAGACTTAGAGAATCTAGGAAAAATTCAGGCTGTTTCGGCTTACCAAGCCTCATCAGTTGCACTAGTCCATCTGTCAATCGATTCACGAAAGGTACCTCCATATATGATACAAATCGAAGCCCACAGAGGGCAGAAGGACGATCTGGACTTCATATCTTCGACTTTTATAGCCAATATCAAAAACTAACATCGATTATACTTACGTAACGTGATCTCATAGATTATGTCGGTATAACCCAAAATCACTTACCCATAAACAACAAAATGGAAGGATAATGCTAGTGCGAAATGCGTATATAGTACTGGTCCCGCCTTGGATAATTATTTAAAACATACCATATATCATCGCTGTTACTGCCATATGAAGTATAACAAGAAACAAAAACAGCGGATATTCAAACAAACTGAAAATAATAGTCAAAAATTTGTACCGAGCTTTCTCGAGGTTATAGTTCATTGAAAAATAAGTATAGTTTCTAAACGGTAAAAGCCACCAGATAGAAATTTCCTGCATAAATTTATGTTAATAAAAAACATGTCTCTGATATACTTGCACATTTCTGATTTTTTGAAGACAACTTTTTTTTGCGTATTCTTTTTGGTGAGAAAATGGATGCATTTGAAAGAGCGAAAACAATTATATAAAAGCGGTACTCGTATCAAAATACAAAATTTGAGACCGTTTTCAAAGATATTTGAGTTTTTGTAGACACATGATATCAGCAGATTAGTTCATCAGTAACAATATTTCAGTAGGCCATGATCAATGTTGTTCTTAATTTTGACGTTTATGACGAACATTGTTATTACACGGAAATCAACCTTGTTTAGTGTTTTTTGCTCACTAATATTATCACTGCGATTTTCAACTGAGATTTCAAAAATTTTCAGGTTATTCGAAATGCCGAGATGTTTTCTGTTCGACGCGTTCCAAATTCTAGACCAACTTTTAGGATTGTGCGTGAAAAAATATGTTGTAAAACGACAAATAGAGATTGTGTTCGGCCAAGAATGTCGAGGCGTCCTTAAATATAATAAATGATGAATTTATCTGCTGAACAAAACTCAAATATATCGAAAACGGTTGAAATTATTGTATTTTGATAGGAGTACCGTATTTATGAAATTTTGTTCGCTCTTCCAGATGTTTCTATTCTTTCAACAAAAATGAAAGAGGAAAACTGTTGATTTAAAAAAATCATGACCCACCCTCTAAAAACACCATTTACAACAATATCAGAAATATGGAAGTGTAACAGAAAAATGTATTTTATCAACATACATTTATGCAGGAAATTTCAATTTGGTGGCTTTTACTGTTTAGAAGTTATGCGGGAAAATTATTTCAATTTTATTAACTTCAGAAGGACATACAATATAAATATTGGGCTATCAGTTTATTCATCAAACTATACCAAACACTAAAAACGTGATAATGGCTGAAGGATAATTGATAATGAATACGAAAAGCCGGCTCTGATCAAATCTACAACATACTTTCTTACAAGACTCCAAAACAGTTACCAAAGACATAATGTAGTGCTGATGCTTACTGCGCAGGTGCCTCAACCAACCAATTTGTTGGTCGTAAAAGTTATCCGCACATCCTCATGCATTGTCCTTCTATTTGCTGTTTATAGGTCAATGTCCAAAATTGATAGAACAGACAGGTTGCCTCATAGCTATTCGAGGTCGCATGAACGTGAGTAAGTAGTACAATAATGATTACCTTTATTGATGATTACGTGTAACTGGTAGTTTGACTAGTTTGGGAATTGATTTTCTCATATTTTCGTGGTTTCTTCAGACGAAATTTTCCTAAAACGGCTCATCTTGCTAATTTACGCGTGAACCATACCAGAAATTGAACATGCATTCTTTTTTATCGATGTCAAAATGACTCACGTCGTCGTCAAATAGCGTTTTCCGTGTAGGTGTTGATTTATCAGCATAAATCTTACAATACAGTCGGTTCAGTCAGCTTTTGACACTCGAAATCGAAGACTTGAGTAGGTATTGAAATAATATTCATATTTTTATTTTATAGAAACGAGAGAAAATCCCAAAAATTTGGAATAATGAATGTACCACCTCCTCGATTAACCTACAGACAGTATGGGTTGCGTGCAAGAACTGTCAGATGACCGACACTGGAGGCAAAATATTGAAACACAAACGTCACTTTACTTATTTGTTTACAAGTGATTGAAATAGTTTTTAAAAATTATTTTGGCATTCGAATCGTATTTTTCTGCTATTCATCAATTCGCTCATGCCATCACATTATGCTGTTGTGAAATGCACAAAAACTGCAGCGGAAGACGAAGTAATCCGGTTGGTACAATATGATTTAAAAGTAAGTACCTACTATAGTCACTCACATATAGTTTTCATTTTTGAAATTTGGTAATTTCTCTGATTTCTCATCGAAATTCTTTCTGCGATAGAAGCTAATAGAAATACATCTGAAATTTCTAAAATAATGCCAGAAAATTGGATTCATGCAATCAATCGGGAGGACTGGTCTGACATGCTGACGATCGTGTGTGTTGTATACATTTTCAATCTATTAGCAGTATTAGCTTGTATTGCAAAAGTGACAGAAGGCAGAAGGAATTTTAATAATGAATGACAACATTTCATAATGATAAAAACCATGTGAGATTACTATTTACCTGAAAAATCATATTCTTTAGTCTCTTGCTGCATTTTTTGTGCATTGTACATACAACAGCACAATGCGAAGGCATGCTTGAATTAATGAATAACGCAAGAAACACGATTCGTATGCCAAAATATTGTGAAAAACTATTTCAACCTTTTGATTCCTCTGTAACCAAATAAAAAAGTGAGGTTGTGTTTCAATAATTCACAGAAGAATGAGGTTGTGTTTCAATATTTTGCCTCCAGGGTCGGTCATCGTGCACGCGACCTATGCTTGTAATGCTGTTAAACAGTTGATCAAAAACACACCAAATATCGTAGGTCCTATAGAATATTCAATAATTTACCCGAATATTCGAAAGACGAAGAAAATATATCTCCTTTCAAAAACTGCTTGAAAGTATTTCTGATAAATAAGTGTTTCTGCTCGCTTTACGAATGTTTACATTTTTATAATTATTGAGCATCCAGCTACCTGATAAAAATAGTATATATTATTATAATATTCTTCTCGAGATCAAATTTCGTGGCTCCTTTACCATCCCTAATTTATGAATAGCCGCATTCACACAGAGTTAAAATACAATTCCATGTGTCAGTGAGACGTTGTCAGCATAATGAATTATGTCTAGATTTTTGGAAATTGTTCTTTGAATATATTATAACTATATCATAACAACAATGGGATATAATAGGTTAAATATCGTATTTGCTGGATGAAGTTGATTACTAATAAAGGTAAATCATGATATTTTGCAGAAGTATTCAGAATGTACGTCACAGTTTGCTACCCCGAAAATAATAAATTGCTTCACTTTGAAAAAATAAACGACTTGCGACTTTACCGATCGCCATTCAGTACAGCATGGACATAAAACTGAGGGGTTCCGAACTTATTTTTTGAAAATTTGTCTGAAGGAAACTTCCCCATTTTCTATACGACAACAAAGTTCCAGACAGAAATGCGTATCTGAAACAAAATGGAGAATGGAAATGTTTAAAATCTCATAACACGATTCTTTCGACTAGATGGCTATCAACGTGCTTTCGTCAAATCTTCAACTCTATTGGCAACTAAAGAAGTTATCTATCTAGAAAAACGTCGAAAGTCACCTTGAAGAAAATAATAATGAACATTGTACTCGATTTCGGATAGATATTTTCTCAATTTTGCTATTTTCTTCAATCTCACAATTTCAACTGATAGGCAGTGACTTCAGTAAACGCTGAAAAGTTATGAGGCCCCCTGTCAAATTCATCAACCTTGAGTACAACCTATAGGTAGAGAAAAATAATGGTTTACCTGGCACGTTGTTAACGTAACAACCGTCAGCAATCAAATGTCCATCCTTGGGGTCACATAAAGGTGGGAATATGCCCACAATTGACATACTTGCCCTCACATATCTCCACATCTGACCTGTTGATTAACTAAATCTAGACAAAACAGAAGGCGGCATTTGGTTGGAAAATTTTAGTTCTCTCTGATCGAGAAACATTTCACTTCGTTTTCTTTTCATGATTTGGTACGTATAACAATATTTCAATTTGTTCAGGAGAGCATAGCCAATTTGAAAAAAAACACATTAGTAATGGAATATCTACAACTTTACCATCAACCTATTCAACCATTATTGTTCATGTAAAACTATGTACCCAAAGCCAAGAAACACAAGTTCTGTCTATTGAAAAAAACTTGAGCCAAATGGTCAAACCATGCCAAGTAGAAAGAATCGAAAGAACCAACGAGAATCAACCTTACCAGACCATACTAACAAATCAGTGGTCCATTCAATTGGACGATTGCAAGGAGACTTTTGTCAATGGAATGAATTGAACCTTTCTTCATGGTAGAATACACTACTAATACACAATTATTTTTCAGATGGTTATGGTCTCTCTCGATATTTCTCAGGTTGATATTTCATTCAAAAATGAAATTATTATTGTTTAAGAACTAATTTCCGAAAATTATAGTGAGGATATACCACTTTGGAAGAAAGTTAATTAAGATCAGTTTTCCATCAATATCTTCTGACAGCCTGGAAATATCAAATAATAATAGTAATAATAATAATAATAAATGGACTTTATTTTTCATGGCGGAGTTTAGCTCATAGCTATTCTTCCACTCAACCAAGCATGTTTTAGCATAACAATGTCATGTGAGTTTACAATGATGAAATAATAATAGTAATATTAATAATAATAATATAAATGTAAAGTCAATAGTAATATTGATAGTAATCATGACAAAAATGATCATAATAATCATACTAACAATAATAGTAATAATAATGATTATAATAAACAAAGATCTGTAATACAAAAAAAAGTAGAGAGGTAGGGAATTGATGAGTCTATCGCTGTTCATCCAGGAAATATTGCTTCAGTTTACGTTTGAAACATACACTCTTTATGTTTTGACAAATAGAATTGTACAGGGCGACAGAATAGTAGGAGAAAGATCGATCAAATTCGTATTTTTAACTTGGATGGAGGATATCTATCTAGACCCATTTATATCTCTTACTTGAAGATAATTTTCAAGGCATGACTGTCAGTATTCATAAGAAAATCATCCATAACATTTTTGTTTTCGAACATTTCTAAAAATTCTCATGAGAAATTCATTTCGAAATAATTGAAGATTTAAAAGGCAATTTTCTTGTATTTCGATAAACCAAACCATTTTTCAATAATTTACATTAGAAAATTAACGTACAATCACAAAAATTTCATAAATTGACATTTCTACGCATAAATAGAGCAATAAACATTTTAATAAACTCTTTTTTCAATACATGAAATGTTCATTTTACAGTAATCATGTCCATTATGAATCAATTGAAATTTATTCGAAATTTATGGACTATACATCCCATCAAAGGGGTATATCGTCCTTGATATCATTCCTGAGACGGAAATCTTCTTGCAATCAGAGAAGTAGGAAAAGAAGAATAACAATTTCAATCGTACAGTCGACGGTATCGGAAAGTACAAAGTGATACACCATTGATGACCGCCCTCCACCTGTAACTTGGTTAAATACAAAATACTATACCCAACATAATACATTAATATTTAGTAAAGTCTTAAAATACATATTTAGGCTCTTCTAATATTAATGTGATATTTTGGGTATATTTTGTATTTGATCAATCAACCACAGTCTTCAAGAAACTTCACTTTATGTAACTTGGTTATTTATCAGATCCGAGAATTTCAAGTCATTCAATTTGAATTTATATACCAAAGTAAAGGAGATATTTTGCTATAGTAGAGCTGCATTGTCGAGATTCTATAGCATCTAGGAAAATAAGTAAGCGAGGCGACAATCATTCGTACCATGCTTTAAGTACTATTTTTCTCTAATAGCACTAAAGATGCCATTGAAATACAAAACATGCATCATCATCACGTTGTCATTGCATTATAATTATTCAGAGTATTATCGAAATAAAATGATTGAATTCAAACACTAAGAAAGCTCGAGGTGTACTGTGAAAAATATACATATAGAGATCGACTGAAGATATAGGGCAAGATCTCTATATTACCACCCGAAATTCTACTCATTGAGCGCTACTCGCTCATGGAAGGATCTATGTGGAATGCATACATAACGCGGAGATGTTGCCACAGTTCATCGAAGTAAGATTTGTATATCGCTACTTCGAAGTTGGGAATCAACTACCCAGAAGTCGAAACTTGTGCGGGGTTAGGAAGAGCGAGGACCTACAGCCCATAGTCGATTCCAAACCACTTCAAGGGCAGCGAGGTGCTACCAGGATTACAACCAAGAATAACACATTTCAAAGGACGAAGAAACTACTTCAGTAAGTTATTCGAAAAATGTCAGTGTCATCAAATTTTCACGTGGACAGCAGAATCACTAGGATTTCAATATCCATAAAGTGGCCTGGGTACCAACTGGATTCTTTTTTATTTTTTCTCAATTTTTGAGACGTAATTTCTCGTTAATTTGAGGAGTTTGGAAAAGTCGAATATATCAGGAATTTTAGACTAAAGACGCATATTGCCATGTTTAAATAAGCCGTTGCGTCTCTTGTGGATATTGAGTTTATGGTTCTAAAGCTAGAAGTGAAAATAAAAGTTGTAAGTAATATAACATGACGTATACAATCATAACCATATGGCTATAAAATTATTCTCAATAGTTGTTAGAACTCTCAACTTCAGGAATAACCAAGTTACAACAAGAGAGGAGAGAGGACACATATGATACACATTAGAGTGACTTTATAAAATAGAGTGGCGACAATATTGATGCACTTTTTGATTGGTCAGACCTCAAATATGGAGGTGCATCTGCCTGTCTTGTTTTCTCCATTCAGTTCTACGCATTATATTTCACTTTGTCACTGTTTCTCGCTCTTTGGACACAAGACATCCAACAATCATACATGAAACTCTGTACGTCGGTACCTTGGATATCAACTATTAGAATCCGTCTTTTGGAACTCGTAAGTGTCTCAGATTATTTAGATGATGAAATGAAAATAATAAATACCCAAACCTAACATCAGGTGGGCACTTCGAAAGCGCAAATTCATTACTGCATTCCGATTGTCAGTTATTCAGTGACTTTACCACGAAGGACATTCCAAAAAAAGCAGCTCTATTGTCGCCACTCTGTTCGATCTACTCACTCTAATACACATTACCCCGCATACACACCACACATTGTGATTGGTTACCTTTTTCGTTGATCCGAAGTAAGTCCGAAGCTAGTCCTCCAGATCTGTCGTACTTACCGTTGACCCTTCACCGTCATGCAGAGCGTAGGGCAGACTTGGCAGTGTTATAAACAACGCATAGACATGGAGAGAGGAACATTTACCGCATGAGTCTGGCCGTCTTGCATTGTTCAGGAACGAAAGTACCCCAACAGCCCCAGCATCCGAAACAAGCTTCCAAATAAACAATTTTCATCAGTGGCTCTCTAAACTCTTCGAGTCTGCAAGAGACACTCTTGTTCCATAGAAATAATTTTCAAGTGAATGGTACAGCGAACTGTGGGTCTGATTGCCACACGTACGGCTCGAATCAATCCTTTCGAAGGTTAACTTTTTGTTTTAATTTTGTTCCCAAGTAATATTACGAAAAATAAAAACTTTCTAGAAAGAAGGTTCGGCATTTTTCCACGTATTTTCGTTTGAAAAACACGAATTTCATGATGAAAATGTGAGCGAACCACTATCTTTATCGAGATTTTACCTACTTTTCTTCCTATTTTTGGTCGTAGGAGCCACTAGTGAAGTTTGACAGGCTAATTTCGGACATCCTGTATAGTGGTTTGTTCACATTTACATCATGAAATTTGCGTATTCCAGACAAAAATACCTAGATGACATACAAATCTTTCGATAAAAAATTTATCGCAAGATGCGAAATGACCGAAGATTCATTCAGGCCGAGTTAGGTTAGATTGTTTAGAAAAGGTAGTCTCATTTCTCAAGCAGAAAGGATATCTTCGGAATTCAGAAATCCACCGATAGCTTGTGTCGCGTCGCTGATGTCTACACCGCTTCGGGTTTTCTGGTTCCTGAATACTGTAAGACGGTGAAACTCTTGTGACATTTACTAGAACAGTCTTACAATATTCAGGAACAAAAATATCCGAAGCGGTGTAGACTGTAGACAGCAGCGACGCGACACAAGCTATCTAAATTCCGATGACGTGTGTAATACCGTGATAAAAAAAAAAGATATTTCTGCATAAGAAAATAGACCACCACTTTTTCTGAACAATTCAACCTAACCCGGCCTAAAGGAACCTTCCTAAGAAGTATTGTTTCCGGAAAATTCCTTGAGAACATGGGAGACTACTTTTTCTCAACAATCTAACCGAACTAGGCCTAAATGAACCTTTTCCTAGAAAGTATCGATCCTCCACGCTGTGTGGAGTTGGCCAGTGTTAGCCATGGAAGTATATGTTCTGAGATTAGGTTCCGAGTCAAATGAGAAATCCCCGAGGTTGAACCCAGTTGGGTTAGGGTTGAATACGAACATTGGCGTTTATGGAAATTAGCAGTTTTTTCGAGGACAAATGAATATAACAAACCCTCTCAAGTGTTCAGTCTCCTTGGACTCGTGCTCTCTGACCATATAAGCAGACCACGCCCAGAATTGGCCGCTGGTGGCCTACATACAGTGTCCCGCTTTTCATGAATACATCCAAATATCTCAGTTATTAATGATCCGATTTTCTTGATATTTTGGTGGTGATTGTATGTTAGAACAATGAATTACTTAGCAGAGTGTTCAATTTCATTCAACATTGGCGTGCGATGTTGAGGGGTTGAAAAAAGGCCTTTATTTGGGAAAAGGATATAAGGGCTTATTTTAGATAACTTTTTTTATCAGATTCAGATTTAGCATCCCCAAAAATCCCCCAACCCATATTTTCAAGATCCCAAGAGCTAAAAAGAAAATTTGAAATTCCCGTTTTTCATGACTACACCCTGAAACCTCAGTTGTTAATGATGCGATTTTCTCAAAATTTTGCTTGTGATTGTATGTTAGAACAATGAATTATGTTCCTCCCTTGGCAGTCCCGCGAGATTAACCCGTCGAGTTGAGGCTTCGCACTCCATCGTGGTCACTTTGGAGACCTGCAGAACATCTCTTTCCAAAGACTCGTTCATCCAACGAACAGCGAGGCTCTGGAAGACATTGCCAAGGGAGGTGTTCCCCGAGGCATATAACCTCCTGAAATTTGAGAAGGACACCAATTCCTACCTTATTTCCCTTGGTTCTCACGATGTTCTCTGAACATTACAGAATATCCCTTTTCTCGGGAACCAGAACATAAAAAAAATCTAGACGCTTTCTTCGGGTGCTGTTCGGGAGTTTTTCGGGTGCTATTCGGATATTCTCGTCAAGTTTGAAATGATGAGGATGTATTCATGAAAGAGACACGTTGACTCCAGCGTGTTTCGTGCCACGGTGGAGCCATGATGCTCTCTTGAATTCCAAGAATACCGCTTACGTGGACATCGATTGAAATTATGTATCTAGCCGCTTGTTTCGGGTGCTGTTCGGGTGTTCTCATCACAGTTCGAGATGATGAAGGTGTATTCATGAAAATCGGGACACACTGTGTACAGACAGAGAGACCCGTTAACTCCAGCGCTGTGCGCATATATTCATTATAACGCCGCGTATTTCACCGACTCGGGTATTGATATTTGGACAACGAATAAGCACAGCCGATTAGCCGCCTGTCCGTTAGTTCCCATCGGAGCGTAGCCAATTTTTACACAGGCGTTGTTTATCTAGTGTGTGTATGATCTTTGCTCACGTGGACACCGATGGAAAGGGTGTAGATAGCTAGACGCTTGTTTCGGGTGCTGTTCGGGCGTTCTCGTCCCTGAACGCAGCAAGATGGCGACACTCTCGTGAATGACATTTACCTGGCAGATTGTTAGTGTAGCCGCCGTCGAGTAGGAGGTGGCCGTCGACGGGATCGCACAGGGGCGGCATGTACCCGGAGAGGGACATCGACGCGCGCACATAGCGCCACAGAGAGCCTACGGAATAGCTGGGCTAGACTACATGCTCTTATTTACAGATACAGGTACATGGGAACGGCCAAGAATTAATGAAACAGTGAGTTAGCTAGAGTTACTGGCGCCTGTGTCAAACTCCCCTAAGGGTCGTGTCTAGTAGAGTCGCTTGATGGAAATTGACGTTAAAGTCATCTTAACAGGGTACAGACAGATCCTCGTCTCCTCTTACTCTAAAGCGTTTGTGAAACAGTTATATAGTTCCATCCTTATTCAATTCTGGGGATAAACACTAGATGTTTGACATTCGTTGTTTTTTAGGTTATATTGAGGTCACTGGCGTATCATACGTAATTTTCATATGGAATTCCTGATTCAACTATACCAAGATATAGATGAACAATCCTCTAGTTTTAGAGTTTACTACTCCAGCATAATCTTTGCGAGGTAACACATAAATTGTCCTGAAAGCTTATAATATATTTCACCAAAAGAGATTGTTCTTAGACTGTATACCAGGGTTGACTGAATTGACTGATTGAATTCTGATTTCAAGCTGAGCAGTAGTTTATCTATGAGCTGAATGAGCAGAGCCTTATGATTGAGAAATGGTGGAAACCTCGATGTGGGTATCTAAATTACTGTAGGTACTCATGTCATGTGTGCTAAATATATTTTCGGAAATCCAACTCGGAGAAGAATGTATGGAGTTACTGATATCACACTAAGTATAAAACTTCGTCCAGGACGAGAAGTAGGCTGATAAAAAGTAATACGTAAAATACACTCACCGGCAAAAAAAACCGGCCACCAAAAAATTTAGTCAAGTTGTTCACCCGGTAACTTCTTTAGTTCTTGTCGGATTTCGGTGAAATTTTGATCGAATCGTAGATTCATGTTCCGGAATGTTAACCTGAATATGAATTCCCAAAAAAGGTGATAGCTTGGTCATTATACAGGGAAAAACAAGAGTTACTCATTTACCCATAACTTCTTAACGCCCTGTGGCTGAAGTGAGTGGTTGAACTCCTCTTCATTATGTCTTGGATTGAAGAGTATTCTTTTCTCATCACAATAGTTTTTGATTCACGTCAATATCTCATTTTTTAGAAAAGATACGAGGGTTTTAAGAAAGTATGGAGTTATTCAAGTTTTATTAACAATAACCAGAACGTACACACACCTTTTTTTTTTTTTTTTTTTTTATTTTTTTTTTTTTTATCGATTGGAGCGCACGAAAGGGAATCCCTATAATGTTCAAAGAACATCGTGCGTTCCTAGGGAGGATAGGGACAGGAGGTAGGTATTGGAATTTTTTTTGAATTTTTGGAGATTATATGTTGTTGGGAATACTTCCACACAAAAAACCTTAATTACAAAAAACAAACGAAAAGTAGATCTCCTAGATGTATTCAATACCGAGTATGCCCTCCTCGAGCTTGAATTACAGCATTTAATCGCCGTGGCATCGAGTTGATCAGATTTCTCAAGCAGTCTTGAGGAATTGCCTCAAATTCTTCTTGAAGGGCGAATCGTAGCTCTTGAAGAGTCTCTGGCAATGCCGGACGTAGACGAATGCGCCTCTGTAGTTCATCCCAAAGATGCTCTATAGGATTGAGATCCGGGCTGCATGCTGGCCCAGTCAAGCCTTAGAATTCCGACCTCATTCAAATACTCGGTTACAATTCGAGCAACGTGTGGTCTGGCGTTGTCATGCATCAAGACAAAGCCGTCTCCAATAATATGAGAAGTATACCAAGAAAACAATGTGGAAATAAGCCATATTGATTTGAAGATGTTTTTTTAAGTTGTCGATCGATAAGTTTATGTACGTTCTGATGATTGTTAAATAAAACTTGAATAACTCCATACTTTCTTAAAACCATCGTATCTTTTCTAAACAATGAGATATCGACGTGAATCAAAAACTATTGTGATGAGAAAAGAATACTCTTCAATCCAAGACATAATGAAGAGGAGTTCAACCACTCACTTCAGCCACAGGGCGTTAAGAAGTTATGGGTAAATGAGTAACTCTTGTTTTTCCCTGTATAATGACCAAGCTATCAGCTTTTTTGGGAATTCATATTCAGGTTAACATTCCGGAACATGAATCTACGATTTGTTCAAAATTTCACCAAAATCTGACAAGAACTGAAGAAGTTACAGGGCGAACAACTTGACTAAATTTTTTGGTGGCCGGTTTTTTTTGCCGGTGAGTGTATGTAGGAAAATAAAGAATGGAATATACTTTACCTCATTTTTCCGTCTCCCTTGAATATAAAGTCATTTTCGAATAATTTATTGATGAAAGTAACAAAGAAGTAGGTATGCGCAGTATAACTTATAGGCACGCTATTTTCACTCTTGCATCCTACATATTTTCTATTTGTGGTAGAGTAATAATTATATAAACTAATGTCTTTCGCCATATTGGATCCATCATCTTGAATTTTCCAATTTTTACGAAACAATCATTATCTCCTACCCCGAAAACCCCCAGATAACAATTTTAAATAGAATCGGATCTTCATTACAAAACTCGTCCACCATATTGGATCCGCCATCTTGAGTATCCCGGAAAACCCCAGATATCTTCCAATTTTGAATAGAATCTGATCATAATTACAAAACTCGTTCGCAAAATAATCTTCCTCAACAAGTAGATACCCGGTACATACCTATTATTAAAATTTTGAATGATTTTCTGTAGCGGCCATGCATGTGACGTGACAGCAATGTCAGGGATGCCAGTAGACAAAACTTAAGTCTCTAGATCATCAAAAAATAATGCAGCTATGATCTGTCCGTACCCTGTTATGATGACTTTAACGTCAATTTCCATCAAGGGACCCTAGCTAGAGTTACTTGCGCTTGTGTCAAACTTCCCTAAGAGTCGTGTCTAGTATCCCTTGATGCAAACTGACGTATTTGTCATCAAACAGGGTACGGACAGATCATAGCTCCTTCCTCTTTCAATCATCTAGTGACTTTGGTTTCGTGTATTGGCGTCCCTGACATGACATTGCTGTCACGTCACATTCATAGGCGTTGGAAGAGATCTTACAAAATTTTAATTTCATATTTCATCTTAAAACGACATTATTCAATTCTGTTTTGGAAGGATGGTAAATTGTGGTGCGTTAGGCTGTATCAATCAGTTGGATGGCAAATTTGAATTTGTCAGCTTTCCATCAAATGCAAATGAACTCAGAACATGGAAAGTGAAGTGACCGAATGGGGAAAATTGTTAAATACATCAGCAAAATATTCGAGGTAACACAAATACGAAATCACATATTATACTTTCTTATTGTGCCTATAATTATCCACTCCATAAGTTTTTGAATGCATTTTAGTAGAAACAGTTTTGATTAAAACGGAGGATTTAAAGAAGAGGCATATGCCCTACCGTTTAAAATAGTACCTATACCTACATTCAGGAAATATTGAGTCTTCGTGAAAAACTGCAAAAATGATTCCCATCATGAATATATACAGCACACATGACATATGAGCACATTAGTTTGAATACCTACATTAAATTTTTCACAATTTCTCAACCATAAGGCTTAGTCTGAAATCAAAATTCATTGCACAGAACAGTCCCATTTGGTAAAACGTATTAAACTTTCAGACAAATTTGCTCACTGCCTCACAAAGATTATTTTATTTTATTTTTATTTTTATAGGTTACAGGCTACTCAACAGGTCGAATGACCCAATTACAGAGAAGCACAAAATATACTAATCATCAGTTAACAATCGAAGGTTATGAAAAGTTAAAATTTATATAAGTGAAATTGATTACTACAGTGGAATATAAAGAACATAAAAATAGGAAAAGGTGAATTTCAGTTAGCTATTTGAAGAGGAGTCGTTACAATTGAGGTTACAATACCTGATTATGTGAAAAGAAGTCAAGAGTGAATAATTTGCCTCAGTTTGGTTTTAAACCTGAATATTTTCGTGGTGAAAATATCTACAAGAGAATTGTTTCCTATCACATTATAAGAATTTATGCTGGAGTTGAAAAATCAAAAACTCGAAAATTATCATCATCATTTGGATATAATAATATGTAGAGTTGAATGAGAAATTACATGTGGAAATTACGTATGATACGCCAATGTCCTCAATATAACCTAAAAAACGACAAATGTCAGAAATCTAGTGTTCATCCCTAGAAATGAATAAAGATGGAACTATATAACTGTTTCACAAACACTTTAGAGTGAGAGGAGATGAGGATCTGTCCGTACCCTGTTAAGATGACAAATACGTCAATTTACATCAAGGGACCCTAGGCTAGACTACATGCTCTTATTTACAGATACAGGTACATGGGAACGGCCAAAAATTAATGAAACAGTGAGTTAGCTAGAGTTACTGGCGCCTGTGTCAAACTTCCCTAAGGGTTGTGTCTAGAAACATGCTAACGCGGATCTTGCTTTCAGAACTCCTCCACGCGTAATGCGTCACAGACCAACGTTTCGCGTGGATCTTTCCATCTCGATTAATACAAGCTAATTTCGCGTGAAGGATTCCCTTATGATCAATCGCGTGGAGCATTCCCTTAGGATCAGTCGCGTGGATCATTCTTTTATGATCAATCCACGCTAACTTCGCGTGGAGCATTCTCTTATGATTAATCCACGCTATTTCGCGTAGAGAACTACGTTGTAATCAATCGATGGTAGTTCCGAGTGAAAGAATAATCCAACAAATATAACACCGTCATGTGAGTAGCAACAAGTTTGTTTCCTTTGTAATCAATCGATGGTAGTTCCGAGTGAAAGGATAATCCAAAAAATATAACACCGTCATGTGAGTAGCAACAAGTTTGTTTCTGACAGGCCAACTAACAAAAAACATCCCAAGCACTAGCTCGCTATTGATTATTAGACTTTGAAAAACCAAATACTACTACCAGATACTACAAGTTGGCTAGAACAATATTGTTTTCAAATAAGTTCAACTCTAACGACAGCGACTGTCAACTTTTTTTCTCAAATAAAAACGAA